ATTTCACTTCAGGATCTAGGACTTTTCCCCGAGCCTCCAGTGAAAGGTAGCTGCCAAATTAGCAGCAATCCCTATTTGCACTTAATTGCATTCCTGAGAATTTGGACCTAATCCATTTAATGGCAGCCAGCGAGCAGACTGTCAGACCGACCGATCGCGCTGGTTATACATTTCAAGTACCTTTAAATATGTTCGCTCGTCAACACTGTAGTGCCCCATCGTAATAATATTATTTAATATAATCCTTACATTTGATGTGCCTGGTATCAGCCAGATATCTAGCTGAGACTGGACAGGGATATCAAAATCTTTTTCCCTGTTCTCCATCGTTAAGCTGCTGGATGTGGATAGAGTAGCTCCCAGCAGCGTCGGGAGGATGCAGCCTGTATGTTGAATATCAGTTTTGCGCATATAGTCTCTTGCCTGTGGGTGGATGTCAGTCATCACAGGCAATGGGTTTTCCCCACCTCCTACACCCAATGGACATTATAATCCCAGAGTCAGATACAACCTGGTTAAATGCAAAGCAAAACACATGCCACCGAGCCCCCAACACTGTACCTCAGTGCCTACATGAGAAGGGCAACCAACTTGCCTTCCTGTGTCTCATTCCAACCTACCTGTAGCCTCTCTTGTGTACAGGTGGCAGTTTAGTTTTTGTGACTGGATCAGCATCAAATAAGATTATTACAACAAAATCATCATCTTGGCAGTTGATGCAGCGCTTTAACAAACCGTCAGAACGTTTCAAGTGCTTCACAGGATTTTACTGTGTATTTTGCAGCCAGTTTGCACGCAGCAATGTCCCCCAAATCAACCATGAGAGTGAATGACCTCTTTTATCTGGAGCATTGTTGACCAGGAGAAACTGCCTTCTCTTTTTAGAGTTTAGCCATGAGATCTTTAACATCCACCCGAACAAGAGGACGTGACTTGGGTTTAGTGTGTCGCGCTGCACTCAAATGTCAACTATGAACTCAAAGTCCCAACAGGGGGGGAAGCTTGAACCCACAACCTTCTGACTCGGAGGCGAGAGTCAGGCTGAGATTGGATTGATCAAAATTATGTCAGATAAGACCCTGTGATTTTCCCTCACAATCTACTGACGCCCACAGTGGAAGTTCACTTGGGAAGAACGTGCCACTCGGGAAGTTTGCTGGTAACTTTGTCATGGTGAGTCACCGCCTTTTTACCGGTGAGTATTCCTCTTATGATGTTATCAGGCTCGGAGATAAAGAGGCAGCTAAAGCTAGTCACAAAACTATCTACTTGAGATGGCAGATATCAGAAATTATAAACATGATAAGATGTCACCAAGATAAGTGCGGTGCATCGCATTGGAGCTCAAACTAGTCCGTTCCGTGTTGCGACATGAGGTGCGCAGAATTATTTACAGGCGACGTGAAGTATAGTCAAATCGTCCTTCTTTTAATGAAATAAATATAGAATGTGGGAGCAGTGAGAGAAGTAACCAACCCTGGAAACAATCCATTTGTCAGAAATCTTTGTGCATCGACTGTGACCAAACACTGCTCGCTATCGTACGTGTTCCTGGATTGGAACTAATCTTGTGCTTTAATGTTGAAGTCCTGCTGTAACAGAGTCCTGTAGTGTATTGGCTACAGCACTCCGCCTCGCAATTCCCTACTCCCCGCCTGACCTGCGTTGTTGCAAATGACATTGCATTTCTTTGGACACCAGAGTTGGAGGAACCTTTGCTGCACTTAATTCTTCAGGACTTTTCTTACCAGTGAGTTTCGCCCACAAAATATTCAGTCAATTCACTTTACAGTACATGGTGTGAAGCTCTTTGAGACGTCTTGAAGATGTGATAGGGTCTCTCCTCTTAATGACCAGAAGGTGACAGTCACTATCTCATAACATGAATAACCCTGTCAAAGTTGCTGAAAGTAACAGAGCGCTGTGTGTTTTTATGGGAGAAATTCTACCTGGGTCTAGATTCCCTCTGTTTTATGTAGAGTTTTAGAGCGTCCAGAATTCGACAAAAACTTAGACGCAGCTTTAATACTGAAGCCGTTTTTCTGTAAGTTCTTTTAAGAAAATTGGCTTTAAAGTTAAGGCAGAATTCAACGCTTTGCCACACTGAGGATGGTCTGAAACGCCACATAGATAGAGTAAATCTCGACTCGGGTAGATATTTTCTTCTATTTCTTTATTTCAATCATTATTACGCAGTCCTGCCACTGGAGGGAACCTTTTCCTTCATTTTACAATATTTTATGTGCTGCATTTCACTTGCTGCCCCTGGAAAACATCAGTCGTTCACGTCACACTTTGTGCCCAAATACACAGTCACCACACTTCACAGTTATTCCTTTGAAATGCTTTGAGACACCTCGGTGACTTGATGAGGTGCTATGTCAAATGCAAAGGTTATTATTATTATGATGATTATTACGGTCGTGGTTGTCTGGGAAATGAGCTGCCAATTTGCACACAGCAACGTCCCACACACAGTCACAACATTTCAACCTTATAAGCCCTACATCAAATGTAAGGATTACTGTTGTCATTCTCCAAACTGCAAAGAGGGGAGTTTGGATGTATTTGGATTGTCTCTTAGTAAAGTTTAGAAGCAAACGTGAAGGTTTCTTGCAAAAAGTTTCTTTCTTTGAGTATATTTTGTGCTCATCAAGCCGAGAAAGATGCGATATTTCACTCTTATTTCAGGCTTTCAAAACTCTCCCTTGATTTACTGTCAACTAGTGACTGGTGGGACTCAAACCTGTTTCTAGGTCCAGCAAATTCATCTCAAGAACTGGGAGAATAATTCAATAGTTGCTGATGAGTTGGCCGTTTTCATTGAAGTTTTATTTCCTCTGTTACTATTTGAACTGTCAACCGGCAACATAGTAAAATTGGTCTTAAGAGGAGTTTGCTTTTAATTCACTTAATTTTCGAGTGCAGTAACCTGATTATAATTTGCAAAACAATATCAACCACAATATTCTCTGGTATGTTCCTAGCCTGCAGTACATGCTCATCTCCTGCGTTTACTAATGTGGGTGCTTTGTGTTTAGATTAATTTTTCCAGGATAAAGAGCATAAGAATTGCTCGCCGAAAGAAGACCAAGGTCCATCCAGTTCGTCTTCCACCATCCTGACATGTCACACGACTACCAAACTATATACTGTAGTCCACGATATTATTTTCTAACAGAAATCTATCTAATTCTTGAAAGGATCGACAATTTCTGTTTCCACCGTCTCCCTAGGGAGCCTGTTCCATTCTTAAACCTTTGGTTTATCAGTATTATAATCTTTCGGCACGTAAGTGTCTTGCAAATATAATCAACGATGCTGCGTGAGAGATCCTTACAGCCGATGTGTTTGTGAAGGGCTGAACATGAGAATGTAACGATGCAGTTGAGCGGTGTCTGCTATAAACGGGGCGGGTAATAATAATTTGCATTTAAAAGTGGCTTCCGCATAAAGAAAATGAATGTCACAAAGCAATGTTAGAAACTAGAATTAATTAGAAACGAAAGTGAATGTTTTATGGGCAGGTAATCTGCAGCAGCAAAGTCCCCTCGACAACAATGAGGTGAGCAGCTGAATATTTTGAATGGGGCAGGAGGGTGAGTGGAGGCGGGTGGATTTGAATGAGGCGAGTGAATATTGACCAGAAGAAAGTCTCCACTTTTCTTTTTAATTACGGACGCAAGACTGTCCCTTTATATTGGTGGTTCACTCCTCCAGGAAGCCATGCATCCCAAGCCCAATTTCCTACCATTGATAGAGTTTCATCCGCAAAATATATAGTCAATACATTTTACAGTATACTCTGTGGATATTTGAGACGTCTCGAAGACGTGATAAGGCACTGTACCAAATGCAACGAGTATTATTTTATAATTTGTATTATATACAAAGTCGGCAGGATGTCCCCAGAAACCGTTTTAAGTTGAAAACTAATAAAAGAATTAGAGGAAAAGAGACACAGGTTTATTTTCCTGTTGAATGTGCCGAAAACTGCTGTGGTGTTAGTATTTGGCTCACGTAATCCTTGTTTCATATGAATTCTCGTTAAATGCATCTTTTAGGCTGGTGCATAGAATGCCGTGGAAAATCAGCTGCACTTAATAGATAATGAGTTTACTGAAAGCTTTCTTACATAATGCCAAAGTATGTTCCCTTAATGGAAGCTCAGTGCAACTGCTGAATTAGCTGGAGGTCAAATAATCAACACTGGGGTTTCAAAGCAATCTTTCCTTTAATGGGTTTGTAGGCCTTTCTTGCTGTTGTGATTTTTTTAATCAAGTTTGCATTTTGGAGAGCCCCTCTGCAGGGTAACTGTGTTATCCTGTTTTTTTCCAATGCTAATGGGTTTTCTGCAAAGCTTTAAGCTTGGTGTGTGGATTGAATAAAGTGTCACTTTCTGAGCAGTGCTGCCATTCAGCTGTTCTGCTTTTTTTTCTGCTGGGTTTGATGATCGCTAATTTCGAATATTCAAATGATCATGTTAATTTTATGGGGTCGGCAGCGCAAAGCGCTGGAGATCGAGTCAGCAGGTCTTGGAAGAACCAGCCGACGACTGATTTGGAGACTCTTAAGCAAGGCGATGGGTTTCCATGTGTCTCCGAAAAAATAGGTCCAAGTCACAGAGGATACTGATCAAACCCCGCGTGTTTCTAGCAATCTGAGCAGACTGAACTCAACTCAATCTCGATTCAACCTAAGATGACTCTAACCCATCACATTCAAAACTAGGTTCAAACCACTGAATTGTAGGAGTAGCCATCTTACAGTCCAGGTAACTCCAACTACACAAAGATTATTAAATAGATAGTTATGTTCTAGTATCTTTGACCGTGCCTTCGGTCAGCACCCTACCAGCCCCCGCACTCTGTGCGGTTGATGCTTATTATCTGAGGATAAAGTGTGGTTTTAGAGTAGATGAAGTCGCTTTTACATTGCAGACATGTCAACTGGTTGAAGCCCAGAGCTGTTACTCAGGCGTTTGCTTTTGCTTTTTGCAGCACTCTTCACTGAGGTTCCTCATGATATCATGGCCAGAGCTGGGCAGGATGTGGAGATGGCCTGTGCTTTCAGGGGTAGCAGCTCACCATCCTACTCGCTGGAGATTCAGTGGTGGTACATCCGAAACACCAGGGACTGGACCGACAAGGAGTCATGGAGCTCCAACCAGGTAACCACCGCTCACAGACTGGTAGTTAAACAATCCCTTACAATCCAGCTCGCAATTCAATGAGGGCATTTAGCTGTCACTCACTGCCTTCCTTGTGATTATCAGACAAACAGTGAATCGCACGACCCAGGCACAAAAAGTCTGGAAATACAATGATCCTTGCATTTGATATAAGGTCTTTTCATGCCATCAAGCCGTCTCAAAGCACTTTGCAGGATTTTATTGTGAAAAGAGGAGCGACTGTGTCCTTGTAGGTGAATGCGGCAGCCAATTTGCCCACAGCAACGTCCCACAAACAGCCACGAAGTGAGTGACTATTTTTTCCTATTTGGGGAATTGTCAGTGGTTGGAGCACTCGCCTTGCAAGCGAGACACCTGGGTTCAATTCCTGGCAGGGCAAAACCTTGGGCAAGTTTCCTTACTCCACACAGAGCCTAATAATAATCCCTCCAAAACAAAACAATAATAAATTGGTCATTTTCAATCCACGACTGTTTGTGGGACAATGCTGTGCGCAATTGGCTGCCGCGTTTCGCCCACAAATATACGGTCAATTCACTTTACATTCTATTCTGTGAAGCGCTTTGAGACGTCGAGAAGACATGAAAAGCGCTATATCAAATGCAAGGATTATTATATTATTTTGTCAAACCGAGGCCCTGTCTGTGCTATTTGGGGAACGTTAAAGATCCCACAGCTATTGAGAAAGAGAATAGGGTTTCTCCAACAGTCCCCCAGATAAAATCAGTCAATCACTTCACGGCTGTTTGTAGGAGATTGCTGTAAGCAAGCCGCCTGCCTGCAAAATACACTTGATAGTAAATCTAGTGAAGTGCTTTGAGGCGTCCTCCCGAACATGACAGTCACTATATCAACATGGAAGGATTATCATTTACCAACGTCAATTATTAGGGGAAGGATTTGCAGGTTTAAAGAAAGCACCGATCGAGGGATTGAGTATAAATGCTCACAGGACAACCTGCTGTAATCTTGTAATAATAGGAACGTTATCTGTGAAATGCAACTGGTCTGGCTGAACGCTGTGAGACTGATATCCAGGAGATTTTCATTTGATTTGCCTTGAGAAATGGGGCTGGCTCGCGCTGTTTTCTCTTCTTGAAAATGATTTACTTATGCTTCACCATTTCCCTCAGGGGATGCAGTAAAGTGGAGTAAGTGATTCGTTGAGATAATCGGGCCGCAAATGGTCTTTTCTCTTTCCAAACATTTTAACGTGAACATAGGAACAGGATTAGGCCATTCAGCCCCTCGAGCCTGTTCCGCCATTCTAATTAGATTATGGCTGATCTGCAGCTCAATTCTGTCAAGTCAAACATTGGGAAAATGTTCTGGCAGACCGAGGCACTGTCTAAGCAAACACAACGGATTTGACTGAACTTGGTGCAAAGTAATGTACACAAGGCTCCGTTCAATGGGAAGTCCAAGTCTAAAAAAGGATGAAAGGTTGGAGCTGAGAAATGTTTCCGATCGACCTGCTTGGGTTTCACTGTAATTTATTATTGCAGTGTAATCAATGTGTCGACCGGCTGTTAAGATATTTTCATTTGATTTGGCTTGAGAGATGGGGCTGACGTGCTCCGTTTTCTCTTCTTTGAAAAAGATTTACTGAAGGTTTTGGAGGTTAAGGGCCAGTTTGATCCTGTGGTCTTTGTACGCTGTGATTATAGACCAGGGCTTGATGCTGCCTGAATGTTAGTCAGTGTAGCTGCTGAAACCGCTCTGAGGAGGTGTATCAGTTCAGCCAAGCTCCAGCATCAGGGACTTATTGCTGGAGAAGGGATCGTGCTACTCAGCTAAAGGAAATGTACATGTCAGGCTTCCTCATCAAGGCTGCTGTTAGATCTTATCTCTGACAATACTCTGAAGCCGCTGTGCCTTGATGGCTCAAATCATCATGATTATCATGTAACCGTCTGCTCTGACCTGAGCTGTGCAGTTTTGGGGGATGCAGTGACATAGCTGAACTGCATTAACGCATCCTGTCAACCTCTCGATGTGTTGACATGCTGCATTAACCAACATGTAACGTGCAGGGGGAAAGCAAAACCACGTGCAACTTTATAATTGAGGGTGAAAAACGTATTGTTTCATCCATAGCCCAATGCATTTTTCACTGCATTGTAATTGTGCCAAATGAAATTGGAGCTCAGGGAATCTTTTTGTGTGGTGCCTGATAAGAGCAGATAAGACAAACCCTCTGTTCTTTTTATATTAAAAAAATCAAACAATTATAAAGTGTCCACCACTGTCCCCACTCCCCACGCCCTCTCTCTCTCCCTCTGTGTTCTGATATTTTTTCCCTATCATTTGTTTCTTTTTCTCCTCTCTTCACAGATAAAACCCTTCAACCACGAGGAGACCCGAAAGGATGCAACCAAAATAAGCGTGAGTTGAGATAACTTTCTGTTCGTATTTGTTGTCAACCTTGGTTAACAACGCCAGCCTGGAAAATGGTCAAAATCCCGATTGAGAAGTTTAGCAATGGCATCTGCAGGGAATTATTTTATGCCGCATCTCACAGGAGGAAAGGTTGATGACAACAACTTGCATTCGTAGCACGCCCTCCATGCAGGCTGGTGTCTCGGAGCACCACACAGCGGCAGAGTTAGCTGCCGAGCAGAAGAGATGAGGGAGGGAGAGGTGGAAGGGGTAGATTTACAAGTGGGATTCAAAGATGGATCAACATAATGTATAATCCTTGGATTTGATATAGCACCTTATCATACTGTCGAAACGTCTCAAATTTGTTGAGCAACAGATTCTAGACTGGAATGCTTATCCTATACCGTGCCGTTGCCTTTGAACAAGACTGCCTTTCATTTCATTTACCTGGGGCGAAAAAATAAACCATGTCAGTGCCGTGACAGAAGATGGTGACCAAAGAACAACTGGAAGCGTCACTTTTACTGCCCACGAAACACACAGTCTTTAGAGCATATTTCGCGAAGCGCTTTGAGACGCCTCAACGGCGCGATAAATGCAAGGATTATTATTATTATCATCATTATCATTCAAGTTTGACTCTTCTTTCAAACCATTCAAGTGAGAAAGTGCCAACTAAAGTAAAATAAGTCTCTGTTTGGACACATTTCAAACACTCGCACTGACTTTACAGGTTGGGTTGGTCTGCAATGTTGGGACAGTTTATGTGGGGTTTCTGCCATCTCGTGGCCTTCCTGTGCATTGCAGCCACACCACAAATTTTCAGGGCTGTTATAATAATAATAATAATAATAATAACCCTTGCATTTGATATAGCGCTTTTCACGTCGGGAGGACGTCCCAAAGCGCTTCACAGAACACACTGTAAAGTGAATTGACTGTATATTTGTGGGCGAACGCGGCAGCCAATTGCGCACAGCAATGTCCCACAAACAGTCGTGGATTGAAAATGACCAATTTATTATTGTTTTTGGTTTTGGAGGGATTATTATTAGGTGTGTGGAGTAAGGAAACTTGCCCAAGGGTTCGCCCTCTGCCTGGAATTGAACTCAGATCTCTCGCTTAGAAAGCGAGTGCTCTAACCACTGAGCTACAGGACTCCGATTATTGCACATCCATTACTGTTACTTTCATAGTAGAAAATATATATTTTTACATATGTGATAATGACTAGTTAGCTCTACAATATACTCATTAAACAATGCATATCTCACAAAAGATTATCTGAATTATCTGAATAAAGATTATCTGAATATCTGAATAACCTGTTCAAAGGATAACCCAACAGATGCTGTGCATTGACCAGTATAAGATTTGTCAGGGCCAGACTGGCTGGATGGGAAATCAGGACACTTCCCGTGAATGCTTCCCGAGTGTCCCTGTGATTAGCTCCAAATACGTGGAGCCTTGCTTCGCCCACAAAACATGCGGTCAAAATTCACTCTACAGCGTGAATCGCTTTGGGACGACTTGAAGACGTGATAAGGTCCTATATCAAATGCAAGGATTATTATTATTATTATTATTATTGTTCAGAAATTCCCTTTAAGCTCCAACAAAGTTTATGAATGTGCGGATGTTTTATGCTGGATGTTTTATGTTTTATGCCCCATTTTACCTGGCAATCCCAAGCCCTTTTGGGGAACCAATTCACCACTACCTGCTAACAGGTGGTCAACACTTTTTGCAAAGCAATGTAGCAGTGCCTTAACAACAAATTGAGAAGATTGTTGCAGGTTTCACTTCCAAACAGAGACTCATAACCGCTCACAGAATTACGACATTAACATTGTGACAACAACAACAACAACAAAATTACATTTGTATAGCGCCTTTCACGTCGGAAGGACGTCCCAAAGCGCTGGACGTGCAGAGATCACTGAGTCAGGGATTCTTCTCGTTCGGCTCCTGTTAAGCCTGTAAAACCCTAAGGCGGCTGGACAAGCAGTGGGAAGCATGTCAGCAATAATACTCAGTACCAATCATTGTGTGCAGTTATTCCATTAGATATCCAACAAGCAACTTTCCAAGGGAGAGGGAGTTTGCTTTGATTAAAAAAAAACACTAATATTGAAGCATGAATTATCCAAACTATTTCCTCAATGGATGGGGCTACTGCTAGTTGCTTCTTCTATGCACCTTGTGGACCTACTCTTGGCCAAAGGTTGTTTCCTTGCATTAAGAGCTATTTGAAGTATTAATAAAACAGCCAATTAAATACAGGGTACAGTGCATTTCCTGAACAAAGCTGTTATGAACTCGTGTTGGCAAACACAAGAAGCGAAATGTACTAATGGTAGCAGCAATATTAACTTTGCTGTATTAATTAATCAGTGTTAAGGATGCAATTCTGATGCCTCTGCTTGTTGTATGCTTGTCTTCATTATTTAGCCAACTGTTGTTGAGTACAGTTATTATCCTCATCTGAGATGCTACCCACTTGATGAGCGCTATATAAATGCAAGTTTGATGTTGTTTCTCTAATGTGTAGGGACTTTATTTCTTTCTTATGTTCAATGTAATGCACATGACTAAAAATGGGGAATTAAATCACTGAAACGAGTGTCAAGACGACGGAAACGTCAGTAAGAAAGTTTCCAATATGTAAATTAATTCCGGAACTATTGGAAAAGGACAGGGAGTTTCTCCCAGTGTTCTGCCAACAGTGCCCCAAATAAGATTTGCTTCATGGCTGTTTGTGGGACATTGCTATGTGCGTGTTTGCCTACAAATATAGTCACGCCATTTTCATAATAATAATCCTTGCATGTGATATAGCTCTTTTCACGTCTTCGAGACGTCTCAAAGCGCTTCACAGAATATACTGTAAAGCAAATTGATTGTATATTTGTGGGCGAAACGCAGCAGCGTGTACCACAAACAGTCGTGGATTGAAGTGATGGATTTATTATTGTTTTTTTCTTGAGGGATTATTATCAGGTGTGTGGAGTGAGGAAAATTGCCCAAGGTTTTGCCCTGCCGGGAATTGAACCCAGGTTTCTCGCTTGCGAGGCGAGTGCTCTAACCACTGAGTAAATTCCTTTGAAGCGTTTTGAGCTGTCTCGACAATACAATGAGGTACTATTTCAAATGCAAGGATTGTCACTTATGTGCCTCGAGATTGTGTGCAGAGAGTTGGCAAACAGAATTGTCTCTCGGCAGGACAATTGTAGTTATGGGGAATTGGAACAACTAAAAACGTACTGATGGTTTTTCATGAATTTTTAACCATTTTATTACATACATAACACTTAGGAAACTTAATAACCATTAAGTGAAAATCAATTTCAGGTAATGGGCCATCTTACAAGTATTAACAGAGCTCTTCCCTCTCTATCACACTCTACTCTTCCTCCACCAATATAATACACTGCAGGTCGGCAGTTGATTTTAAAGAAACAGTCAGCGTGAGTCTAGATGTTTTACTGTCAAAAGGTCCTATTGTGCATTGCCAAATCCTCCGGTCACTTCACAGCATTTACCACATTGAGAACTTAGATTTAATATATTTTCTAGCACAGGCTAAATGCAGGTAATCCATTTTAATTGGTTTATCTAGGAAGCTAATGAGTTTGGGGTAAACTCACATCGATCTGTTACTCGGCTCATTATATTTTGATTTCATCTGAACTGCGGGGCCTGCACCAGGTTCAATCTTTAATAGAACTGTGTGGACGCGGAGAATGTTCTTGTGTGTAACTACGGAAGAGCAAATTGGATGGTCCTTTGGAGTGAGCTTGGAAGCTGATGACTGAGTCTAAAATGCGGTAAATTCCATCAGGATGTTTAAGTGAGGAACCTGGACCTACAACACTCTTTGACTTGTGGGAACTCATGACACTATTTGAAAAGAGAAAGGAGTTTGTCCTGGCCAACAATCTCCTAAATAAAATTGGTCACTCATTCCATGGCAGTTTGTGAGACACTGATGTGCGCAACTGGCTCTGCCACATTTGCCTACAAATATGCAGTCACTCCACTTTACACTATGTCCTGTGAAACGCTTTGGGACGTCTCATTGACTTGATGAGGCGCTGTATCGAATGCAAGGATTATTAGTAGCAGTGTTGTTTTTATTAGTAGTAACATTAACTCACTCTCCATTATGATCCACTTTTGGAGCAGAGCTGGAATAAATCAGCTGCATTTGGTGCTAAAAGGCGATTATTTTGATTAGAGATAAAAACACATTCAGGAAATAATTCACGAAAGTTCATGTTATCGAGCCAATTGTCTTCAGTGTGTTTCATTGTATTTTTCAACACCCCTTTATCAAGCCGGACTTCTTTTCCATCCCTCTAGGCCGTGAAGGTGGTTGGTAGCAACATCTCGCACAATCTGCGGCTATCCAGCATTAAAACTGTGGACGAGGGCACGTACGAATGCCGAGTGACTGATTACAGTGAAGGTAAAGCCAGGCATCATAAGGTCAAAGCCTATCTACAGGTCAAGCGAGAGCCGAGTCAGGAGATGAAACAGCACGGAGTCTCTGGACACATGCAAGACACCAAGGTCCCTGCAAACATCAGAGGCGATCACACAAATCACATTGCCAGGTCCAATTCCATTCCCAACAGCCCTCACACTGTCCAAGCTATCAAGGAGCGAGCACTGGATAGTGACTGTGAAGAGAGGGATCTGTCCCCTCACGCTGAACGTATTCATTGTGCGTAATAGAGTGAGCTGTCATTAGAGATGCTAGTCTTTGTATATTATATGGGAGTGCATGCCAGACTTCTGTATGGGAGTATTTGGGCAAAAACAGTGTCTGAAACTACAGCTTAAGGGTGGGGGGAAAAAACAGCTGCGTATCAGCTGAAATATTTTTCCTTATTTGATATGTAGTGATTATGGTAAGTAAAGACTGATTTTGTTACATCTAAATAGAAATTTATTATCTGTCCAGTCTCCTGAATAAAAAATATCTACTCAGCAACCCAGATACACAAGTAAAGCATCTCCAATTACCTTTTTACTCTGTGCTTATTGTAAAGGTATGAAATGTTTAGAGATGATGTGGAAGACATGATGGTGAAATATCTTTATTTTTAAGAACAACAATCCACTCCTGATCTTCATACAATATGGAACAGACATCCACATGCTTGCCCTCCATCAATTAGATGTCCCAACCCATTTCACACAGTCACTCACGTCCACCTCATCTCAGCTGAACCTTTCTCACCCTTCGTTATCTAACAGGACAACGCGTTGCTCTTTTAACTAGCTTTTTCTCTAGCTAACAAGCATCTTACCCAGAAGCTCAACCCATCTTTATTTAACAAATCTGATCTAAACATATGTTCACCTTATCATGGGTCAAATAATGCAATCTGACTTGATTTAAACTCAACCCCATCTCCACTCAACAATACAGCTCTACCTCACCTCATAAACCCATCTTCATCTAAAACTCCTGATCCCAAACTAACCTCATCTCAGTTAACAAACTAACAACAACTCCATTATCACCTTAAACATTCAAAAAGCATAATTCTATCTCCATTTCAGTAATAAGCTACTTTCTACACCAACCTCACTTCACAAGCCTAATTTATCCCAAGTGCCAGTCTCTTTTCACCTAATACTGTCGTTCTGTTTTAAACTTAACCATGTCTTGCTTACGAATCGTAAACTATCATTGTGCTACTTCTATTCCATTTTACCTCATCACCGTGGTGTTACTCTCACCGAAAACCTCCTGCTCCACCACACGTAATACTCCTATTCCGTTTGGTTTTGCAACCCCACATTTGCCTTAACTGGTAACCATTTCTTACCTAATAAGCTAATTGCAACCTGCCACGCTGAACAAGCCCAAAACCAAACTTATGCTCATCTGCAACAGCATAACTAATAACCAGGGCCGATAGAAAATTGTGGACAAATTTGATGAATTTTGCAGGGACTATTGAGGGACATTTGTCTCATCCCAAACTACATTTCTTTCACTTTATCGATAAAACCTAAACATGAAGAAGTAACACGTGTAAGGTTATTCCAAAAAAAAATGTTTTTCTTTAAAGCTGGGTGGTCCATTTGGGGGTGGGGCTGGGGGAAGAAACACCAGCGCAGGCCCGAAGATCCGCTAAAAAACAGTATTGCTCACCAAGCTCGTCAGCGTCCTGACTGCATTCAAACAGACACAGAGACACATGCATAAAGGAGACACAGACACACTCACACAGAGACAAACACACACACAGAGGAGAAAGAGACGCACAGACCATCTCAACAGTGGGGCCTCGCGAGTGGAGCCCTCATTAGCGTCGAATAAACAATCGAGAGACCCAGGTGCCAGAAACATCATTTTTTAGCGGTTTACAGTGCTGTTCCACAGAAAAATTGCAACCGCACTTTTCCATTGGCCCAACTAATAACTCAACCACAACTCACACACTTTGACCTCATCTAATTTCAATAACCCTGAGTTTATAGAAGCCCACATACCACCCCCGCCAACTATCTTAATACAGTAAACTCCCCCCAACCTCCCTCAGTGTCTCCCATCACCACTTCATTTAATACTTCAATTTCACGGTAAAGTCTACCCCAACATAACCCACAATTCCTATTTGTTCGTTGTGGGTGGAGATGTGTCCACTTGTACCTATGTCATCGCCATCAGGAGTGGACGAATTGGCGATCTTGAGTGTTTGTGAATAATGGATCATCTTTGTAAATGGCCCCAAAAAAGGGCCACATCTCCAACAAAGGCTGTCTCATCTGGATTGTGTGATCAGATGTGAAGCTTTCAACATTGTGTATGGCTACCAAACTAACACTGGTTTCAGAGCACCACACCTGTGGTATTGTGCAATAGAACGTGTGCTGCTGTAAATAGTGGCTTTCATTCTGTGACTTTCTGGGGTATTGATGATTTTCTAAAAAAAACATTGATTGTCAAATGTTGAAATTGTACTTAAGAAGTCTGGAGCATCACTGAATTCAGTAGCAGGAATTTTTAATCATTTTGGCCACATTTCCTTAGTGTTTTTCTCAGCAGAACAGAATGAAGAGTCCAACACTTAGGCCCTAAGTCAATGATAATGATAAATTACGACTGCCTGTTAACCTGAGCCTGTTTGTTCCAGTCGAAGCCAAATAAGGACCAGCTTTGTACACACTTTGTTTAAAATGGCACCAGATACATTATGCATGTACGTTCAGAGCTCGTCTCAGATCTGAATATAATCAGTTTTGTGTTGACAAGGTCTGCCTTTCAATCCTGTCGCAGTGCCGTGCGTATTGACTGATTGGGACTGCCAATCACTCCCCATTGTAAATTCAGTGTCAGTAAAATGTTCTGTTAAGATGTCTGTCATATATTCGACCGACTACAAATACAGCCTTCAGAGCCCATTTAGCAAAGAGTGAATTGGAACTCTACAAGGCTGGCACTGTCAGCTATAAGGAACCATTTAACGAATGGCTCAACTTAACTGCAAATCGCTGCCAATCTGTACTGATGAGACCTCTTTATGACAAAATGATCCGGGGTCGAAAGGGTTAATGAAGTAGTGTGCAATGAGATAAAAAGCAATTAAACACAAGTCACATTTTTAAGCACTTGTATAGTCATCCGTTAGTTACAGAACAATAGCGTTATATAAGTAACATTAAGCCTTTAATTACTGAATTTCCTTGACCATTTGTAGTCAGTCTGTAAAATGATATTGCTGAATGTGATTAATAAACACGATATGAATATTATTAGTTTTGATTATTTGGTGTTAATTCCAAGGAAAAGTTGAATGAAGTTGCGAAGTTTCTCTCAGGAGCTCGGTGTGCTTACAGGAGGTATGTAGTGAAAGATCAGCAAACCTTGTGACGTTTCACCCACAAAATAGTCAATCCATTTTAGTTTATTCTGGGAAGCGCTTTACTCCCGCGTTATCAACAATATAAATTGTAAATAACAAGGGAGCCTGATATGAAATGATTCTTTCAGAGTGCGATTGCATCCAATAACCAGAAGTACCGTCAAGCTGACACCCATGGGAAATCTGCCTTAAAAACAGACTGAATCGGAACAGTACATCAGTTGGTTGTTAAATAATCCCGTCAGAAATCATTGCATTGCTGGACTCCAATGATAGCAAAATCCCTTATTTCAGTTTCAGCTCAAACAAACCCCAGAGTCCGAGTTCCAAATGAATTGCCTGCACCTTTTAACCAGCATGTTCCCAGTGCGTTCCCAACTGTGCCAGCAAATCGCATGTACCAGCAGAAGCTCCCACATGCCCGGTAACAATCGAAAACCTACAGTACCCCCAGGAAATTTGTGTGACGTGAAAAGAAAAATGCCACCAAGCACAAACAAGATAGTTCAACACACATGGATAATGACGAGACTGTCCTTGTGTTTCATAGAACTGACAAGTGAAAAGCGACGCGTTAATATTTTACAGAACAACTGTAAAGTGTAAAGGAGGCTGTCAATATTGAAAAGGAGCTCCACATTTCATTTCAACAGCCGCAAACCGCTTTGTAAATGGAATAGGTGCTGTGGAGAAACAAATATTACATTGCTCCCTTTTGCAGTGCATTCTCATTGTCACTGCATTCTGAACGTTGGTATTACTGTAGATGGCTCCGTTTCTGTACTGTTACATCTCTGGCTGGGCTGTAAATAATGCATAGAATATTGCTTCTTGAAAAATTAATAGCTAGCTATTTTGTTAATGAGGTATAATTCCCTGGAAAGTTTTAACCGACTACAAAAACTGACTAGCAAACAAAAAGTTTTCTTTTGCTGTTGGAATACAAATTATACTACTATATCATTACTTACGTACAATCTGCAGAATATTAAAAAAAACATTAAGATTTATAAATCACCTCATTCCTCCACAGTCCTGCTAATTACAAAATAATTTCTTATAATCTAACTGGATCCAAGAATAAATACTTGCTGTCTGAAAGATGTATTTGTTCAAATTGATGCTACAAGAAGCAGGGATTCTTCCCGTTTACCTCCCCTATTGGTTAGGGTGGTCCTAACTGCTGGACAATAATAATAATAATAATAAAGTGGGAAGCTTGCAAGACAGCACTGAGGCAAGCAGTGTGGTTTTAGCTCGTTAAACTCCAGTAGTACCCCAACACACACTCTGGAGTTCCCAAGCCTTGGCTCTCACCAACCTGCGCCTAAAACCCTCCGGAATTAAGTAAAAAGGGTGGGTCCCTATAGGTAGAGTGCGCATTCCATTATAATATCAGCATAATTTCTGCATGTAGATGGCATGCATATGTGGAACAATGTCTGGTTTAATCCAGAGGATATATTTTCAATCATGAATGCTATAAAGTAGAATTTGAGAAATACTTAAAATATTAGTTTATGTATGTTATAAATATTGGATTTTGGTGATAAATTAAATTCTCAATAGTTAAGGAGCCATGGTAGAGAGAAAAATGAACTAAGCCCTTTGGGTACACATGCCTCTGTTCAGATACTGTTAATGTGCAGCCATTAAAGATTCATACTCAGAGCCCAATACAGAGAATTTAGCACTTTTCCACTTACAAAATGGTGTGGGACAAATCTGAGAGGTTTATAATCTCTGCTAATTGAATCCATAATAAGCTTCAAAAATGACCATTTGTACTGTTCTAATGGCTTTTAATGCAGCACTCAGGGATTTAGATAAACACATGGTCCATTAGCAACTCTTATTCTCGAAATAAATCAGAGAAGATTTAGATCATTAGAACGATCTCCTGGACTCATTTGTGCAGCAGACTGAAGACTTAAAACAAGACATTTTGCCAAAAATTAGTTGTTTCTTGGATTCATAAATCTACCTGAAGTTCGAGAGATTTTTAAACTGTAATTTTAGATATTGCAAGAAAAAGAAACAAAAACCATTACAGCTTTGGTTATGCAGAAAAAAGGAAGATTACAGATCCCAATCTTCTTTCCTAAATGTCTGTTTTCAGCCTAAAACTAAAGACAGTGTGATCGCCACTTTATGCAAATAGTAATATAGTAACATAAGAATCCGTGCATTGGATATGGCACCTTATTACATCGTTGAAAAGTCTCAAAGCATTTTACAGGACTATTTTAAAGTTTAGAAGTGTCTATATTTAAAGGTGCTAACGCCAATTGGACACAGATATATCCTAACCTAAATCACAATCAATTCTTTGTGAATGCAGCTATCTTTAAAAAAAAAGGCAAGATCATTTAACATAATCTAGGCTGATTAGCAATACATAAATCAGGCTTTCCCAGTCCCACTAATTTGAGGATCATACAATAAACAGAACAATCAGGACACAACTAAAAATGCAACACAGATTTCCTTCGAAGTTTTATTCTGAATTGTCTGTTATTTTATTAATGTGTCTGCAACAAACACATATCGTGAAACACTCTCATCTGCAATTTCATGTAAAAGCAATCTCTGTGCAAGTCAGCAGTTGTTGATATATAATTTCATCTCGAAGCCGGTGATTTTCAGGACTAGCCAGAAGTGTTGGCTTAATAAAAATGCAACCCTCTCTGAAACAGTTATTGGTACATTCTTCACTTGTAAGGCTTCAACATGGGATTTTGGAATGGCCACGTTAAATTCATATTAGACGTCAGGAATCTGTGGAAAATTACATTTTGCTGCATTCTTGGCTTGTGAGAAAATTTCCCAAGGGAGCTGCAACCTTTATATTTCCCTGCATGTTTTGCACTGATATTTTAATGTTGCTACTTATTTTCGAAGGATGTCCTAAATTTAGTACCATCAGTTCCCCATTTCAAACATTATTTTCTCATTAGCTTTTAGTTGTACAAGTCCCATGTTTCTTTTCTGTTGTCCTTAAGCAACAGAACAATATTTTGCACCGCATCTCATTACATTGCAGGGTACTGTCAGCATATTAAATTTGCAAGACTGGTTATTTGTGCAGACAAAAGGCACATTCTGCCGTCCTAATGTGCACTAGGTAGGTTCCATTGCACCAGACAACACTGAAATAAATACTAGAAATACTTGAATCCACATTTGAGTTACTATACAACTACTGTAAAGCTCGGCTCAGTTGCTAGCACTCTCGTCTGAGTCAGAAGGTTGGTTCAAGCCCCGCCGAGACTTCTCACTCATATAATCTAGGCTGACACTGCAGTGCTGGGGGTGTGCTGCATTGTTGGAAGGTGCCGTCCTTTGGATGAGACATTAAACGGTCTGTTCAGGTAGACATTAAATGATTAAAAAAGAGAATAGAGTTTCTCCTGGTCAACAATCACCCAATAAAAATTGGTCACTCACTTCATGGTTGTCAGTGGGATGTTACTGTGCGCAACTTGGCTCCTGCATTTATCCACAAAACAGTCAGTCCACTTTACAGTATATCTTGGGATGCCCTCCGAATGTGAAAGGTGTAATACCAAATATAAGAATTAATACTAATAATAAATACTGTATTGCCACTCATATTTCATTTTTCTTTGATTGTTGTCTCTGTGCACTGTCTGAGAGTTCTGCAATATTACAAGAACTTGCATTTGCATAGCGCCTCTCATGCAGGGAAGTGTCCCAAAGTGCATAAATATTATAACCTTAGCTCATTTCAACATTTACTCTGTTTATCAAACATTTAGTTTTAATACCAGTTATTCGCATCCTTCCCCTTTAGGTATCAAGCTATCTTTTGTCTCCACGTTTCTTTATTCAGCAAGGACCATGGAATGATCAGAACTTCTTTGAATTAGGAAAGAATGGGGCTTCCTTAGGCTGAGCTGCTTCTATCAGTTCACTCAGTCCCCAAATACTACCTGTAAAATGCTTGATCTAACAGTCTTGCTGAAATGCTGACAATCTGGCCCTTAGGAGGTGAATCCAACATGACTGGAGTCATGTAATTAAAACCAAATTAAAATACAAATCACTTCAGATTCATAATAGAAAACAGAAATACAAATCACAGGGACCGTTTAGATGGTTTGATAAATGTGCAAGACATTGTGTAGACTGAAAATTCTGGAAAAGTATTGGATTTTCATTAAAGTTATACATTGTTTATTGATAGAAATGAATAGGAACTAGACTAGAATTCTGAATTTACATGTTAGAGCAATGAACAGAAATACAGTTTGGAACTCTTTGATGCATTGAAATTCTGCGTGAATAAGTGGTTTTAGTAAGTCAGAATGTTAAACTGGGATGAAAATCCAATCTGAATGATACTATGTGGATTTACCTCGACTCATCTGAACAACTGACATGCTGCCTATAATGTAATTCTTTTTACTGAACTGCATGGAATGAAAGAGTTGCTATTCATAAGCAAATAACCCAAGTGAATGGATGTTGAACTCTTTCCAAATAAATCCTTGGATAAGGATATCAGATGACTAAAAACAAAATAAAATTTCTTAAAATGTGTGTTTTAATAACAAATGATAAAAGGTTTTACTTCTTGGCACGGACTGGGGAGATGGGCATGTGCTGTTTGGTGCAAGTGAACATGCGATGGGAGGAGAAACCATTAAAGACAAAATACAGACAGTGGATCAAGTAGGATAGGAACTTAAGAAGCTAAGTTATTCCTTCATGCTACCATTAATATTAGCAGATTATGTTCATCTGTGACCAGCTTTTGTCTGACATTTTTCACACATTTCTAAGCTACAACAACCTAAGCATGTAGAAGTGATTGCAAACTGGCAGTAATGTGTACCTTAATTACCATAACCTCACTGGACGAAGATATCCCTCAGAGGGTAATGTCTGGATCTATGTGGTAAATGAGTTTATTGCAATCATTATTCTGAACAACTGTGGTTTTCTAATGTCACTCATTTGTCTATGTCCAAGACCCATGCTGCAGCGTTGCTCTATTAATCTAAATAATGTGGATCTAAGCAAACCTCGCTCAGCAGAGAACATTGATTTACAGCCAAGGACTGGACCACAACTCATTACTTCTCCACTTAGAGCTAAAAGAGTTCAAGTTCACTGAACGTCACAACCTTCATGCACAACATACAAGGTCTTTATGCTTGCTACAAGTTTTCTGCAAAGTTAGTTGCTCAATCAGCAAACTGTGTCAGAACCTTCCTGGCTAAGGGGATACATCTGAAATACACAAGCCTTTGAATGCCTACTTTTCAAACATATGGCTGCATGTTTGCACCCAATGCTGCACATATTTCCTTTCTGGCACTATGAGGAAAGGGATGAAGTGCTATATGTTAGTTCTCAGATCAGACTATTAGACCAGATGCAAGCTTACAGTAGGACATTCAGACTCCGGGGAGAAAAAAAAACAGCAACATTCCAGATTAAGCCCACTTCGCACAATTGTATTTGAAGTGCGTATCTATTGTTTGTACTGAATGAATAATAATCCTTGCATTTGAAATAGCACCTTATCACATCTTCAAGACATCTCAAAGCGCTTCGAAAAATATACTGTAAAGTGAATTGATTGTATATTTGTAGGGTGAAACGCAGCAGCGAATTACTCACAGTAGCGTCCTACAAACAGTTGTGGATTGAAGGCCAAACATTCAGCTGCTAACCTCTAGAATGCCTTCCCTTTACTCCTCTATTACTCCCCCTCTGCCTTTTAAGTTCTGTCTTAAAATGTACCTCTTCAATCACACCTATTTACCCCCACTTTTCAGGTCCAACCACCTCTTTATAAAGTGGTTCAATATATTATCCTATATATGGATGCTATATAAATGCAAGTTCTTGTTGTGGTATGGAAGAGGAATGAATGTATCATGAGGGAGAAGAAACAGAGGGATGATTAAGTGGAGTATAAACAACAGCACAGACTAGATGGGCCAAATGGCCTGTTTCCATGCTGTAACTGTGGATTTAATTCTAGATATCTACAATAACTGTGCAATGAAAGAATGTGGAGTCTCTGGGACAATATGAAAGCATGAACTTTGGTGGGTAAAATTAGACTGTATTTCCATTCAGCTGAAGCCCCAAAATTTATTTCCTGCTTAACTTTTGAAAGTACATTGAAAAATAAATGCTCTCAGCATGGCTCTGGAGTTTTGCTTTAGCAGCAGGTTCAATCGGCAGATTACAAAACTAAAGCAAGTGCTGTGAAATTGACCTGGATCATAGGTGAGTGAACACACTCCATAACGTGACTCCCTGGTGATGTTCTCCATTCAGTGTTGTTCTACGTTACTCATCAGGTGAAGAGTGGATCAGGCACACAATTGTCAGTACTATTTTGTGTTTGATCTATAAGTATATTGCGGGGGCGGGGGGGAAAGAGACTTGGAATGGGGAGGAGGAAACAAACAATGTCAGATCTTTCCCATCAGCTAGAATGTCTCATTTTGATGCAGTGCTCCATCCAGCAGCCACACTGCGAATTCAAATTCTACTAATCTTCGAGAAACCCTTTGGACCAGAACGCATGGGGCTCTGCTTTAGAACACAGCAGTTATCTGCTTGAGCTGGCAGCATTCCCACTCACCTTTTTAATTAGATTTCAGCATTGCACTTTACTAACAATGAACCATTCCCCTCATGCGCTAGCTTCCATTAAGAGCCCACTGTTTAGGGCTATGCTGTATTAACTGATGGAACGGTCACATTGTGCAAGTTCTTTTAGAACAAAGACCTAAATAAAGGTCAGCTTGACAAGGATGATGGATAGAACTGTTGCTGAAAAAGTGAAACTGTGGGCAGTTGGTAGAAAATGTGAACGAGCAATTGCAGAATACAAATCAGTTATCAGTCAGTGTTATTAAAAACACTTTTCTCAGGGCCTAAACACTGAGCAGAGCTCTGAAAAGAAACCTTTGAAAGCTGATATAGCAATAGACATATGCCGTTAACTTTTACGAAATGTAATACCCGCTACTGGGAACCATTCCACAGAGAGTTACGCGCAATGCCTTTGGTGATTTTATTATTAATCCTTTCAAGGATACATTTTTATTCTGTTCACGCCACAATGGTAGAGTTCATATTGAAAAAAAACTACATTGCAATGGCACTGTATTTACCTATAATAGTATGCTTCATTAATGTAAAAAACTCTCCTGAGCAGCTATTAACAATTAAGCAATAACTACACTTTCCTCCAACATAAAGAATTTACAAACTGATGGTTTTCTGCTGCAGGCAAAGATTACCAGCCACAGCTGAATGAACATCAGCATGACTTCATCCGGTAGCAGTATTCCAGAAAACTGATTTGTGTTTTACAATTTGAAGGGGGTAGGGGAAAGCAGCATTACAAATATTTAAGAAAAAAAGAGATTAAAAGGTGTTTGACCCGGTCTTCACATCAGCTCCACTCCCATTAACCACAGAACAGCTCCCAGTGAAAGCTAGAATGAGACCTGTGGCTATTCTGCTGGCCAGTCATGGCCTTAACTTTGGGAACGTACATAGGCAGCTTTTATAAAATACAACAAAGTAATAGTTTCATTTCCCATCTTAAATCACAACTGTGAGTTTCAGTTACAGACCTCACCGCATGTTCCACACCCAGCTACAGTAGCTGCTTCTATTGATGGTTGTTTGAGGGCGAGGCGATACAATACAAAATTATATTTGTATAGCGCCTTCCACGTCAGGAGGACGTCCCAAGGCCCTGGATGCTCATTCCAAAAGCTTTTTCTGCTCTATCCCTTCTTTTGTTCCATCTGCGACCAAGAATAGGTAACCTCCCAGGCCTGTGCCAGTAGATGTACAAGAGGATACTCTATGCCCTGTGAGGAAGAGAAGTACTTGCCTTTAGCTCAACTCACATCTCTGCAGAGCTGCCAGTTTCAGCACTCCGCACAAGGGAAGTTTGGATATTTATACTTTCCAAGTACCATACAGACCCTGCTTCACTGCAATCTCTGCAGAAGCTGAAGAATATTATCTGTGAATTCATTCCTTTGCTTTCCCGTTCCACTAAGTCGGATGGGCAACAGGCTGGGGTGTGGCGGATCGTAGGTGCATGGACAGTAAGCTTCATTCAATGCAAGCCATACAGCATCAGGATCGACTTCAATCAAATGGTGAAAAACACTGGCGAGGAAACAAACCAAAAATGTTAAATCGTCAAAAAGGCTGGTCATACTCACTGCTTTTAGAATCGATTGAAGCAGATTAGCATTTTCTACCTTGATGCTCTAAGGAAAATTACTTTTACATATATAACTTTCTACTCTATGTAATTTAACTACACTAAAGGTTGTGTATGGTGCCAATCAACCTCTCTAATGATTTAATGCCATGTTCACCTACAAATACAGTCACTACGCTTCGCAGTAAATAATCTTTGCATTTGATAGAGTGCTTTCATGTCAAAAGGGGAAACATTCCATAGACGGTTACGCTCAGCACCGATGGCAATTTCATTATTGATCCTTTCGAGGATACATTTTTATTCTGTTCAGAATTCTACTCTGCAAAGTGTAGCAACTGAAATTACTAGGCGAACACTTACAAATCCTGCAAAGCACTTTCAGACGTTCAAAGACATAATAAGCCGCTATTTCCATTACAAGGATTATTAGTATAATAATAATACATCTTGAGAGATTGTTAGTTCAAATAATCAGGCTCACTGTCTTTGCACAATGTGAGGCAAATATTTCACTTAGGAATGTCAACAAATCTGGTTAGAAAACCTGCTCCTGAGACAGAATAGCTGAGCAGTTACAAGCGGGAGTAAAGTGATCAAAGGCTGGTAACATTTTCATCTAACATCAGCAGAGCTCTTGGCAGGTACTGCATGTTATTTCTAAGCATTCCTTTTGAAAATAAGTTCCAAGCATTTAAGCTATTTATAGTTTATCTTACTCACTGGATAATGCACTGCAATTAAGCAATCAGTAGTATTGTAGTCAAGGTCTCTGATAAAGTTTAAGGCTTGCACTCTTAAGCGTTTAGAATTATGCCTTATAGTTACAGTGAACACTATTCAACTTTTCATTTACCTCCATTTTCTCCCCCTGCACTCTACTTTTGCAAGACATTGTAACAATTTCTAATAAATTTTCTTATAAGCAAAACATATTCAGAAATCACAGAGAAACAGATGATAGGCATAAAACTATGCTAATTTGGAATGGGTAGAGGTCGATAAACTACTGCATCATCATAACTCTTGCAGGAGGTATGATATAAATTACAATGCTGCCGCACTCATATTCTGCCACAAGAGAGGCCTTACATTCTACTGTGAGCAACAAATACAATGCAGTAATTGTTATAGCTTTTAAACAGTGTGAATTCAGTTGCCACAGAAAACAATACATACATAGCTCATTGAGTACCTCTAGTGTGAAATGCCAGGAACTACATGATTACTTATTGGGAAACTGAGAAAAATAGGGATTGATTGAATTTGTGCCAAGCACTTAAACCTTGGTCTACACTAGGCTTCAACAATTCAAATTTAAGATCAAGAGCTGTGGAGATTATTTTTTCTCTAATTATTCCTACAAAGTAATAACAACAACAAAAAANTGGCATTTATATTGTGCCCCTCATGCAGGGTTACATCCCAGAGCGCTTAAACAGTCCCTACACAGTAAATCCCGTGAAGCACTCCAAGATGTCCTGTTAACCTGAAAGATGTAAAATGTAAAGATGATTTAAAAAGATGATATTTTTAAATTTGAATCCCCAGTGTTTTTTCTAGGAGTCAACGTTTAACTTCCAGATATGCCAATGGATATTGTGCGAGCATTCTATTGTACGATCTGGCTAAGGCTTCTTTCTGTGCTTAGACTTCTATCTACTGGTAGTTATATCATTACTAAACCATTTTCTGTTAAAACTCTGCTCCCTCATATTGCAGGTTCACTAACTATTCCTAGTCAGTTATTGTATCCAAGTGTTGTCAGGCTTTGCTGATTAAATATTTACCCCTCAAACTGATGTATATCAAAAAAAACAAAAAGATTTTAAAATTAGCATTAAAATTTAACCAACTCATGCTAATACAGGGCATTTATTTAGGGAAACTCCCTCCTTTAGAGCAATCTAACAGGTTTGCTTTGAAACTATTGTTACTCACATTAAACAAATGTTACATTTAAGATTATAATCATCTTTCATGAGATTGATTATTAGTGGGTTACCTGCACGCTGCTTCCTGGAGTTTCAAGGGCTGTCTACTGCTCAGGTATGGCAGACAGGTGCTGATCACAATATCCAGGTCACTTTCAGCTGTGTTAGGCAAAATGGAAACTCTTTTACATCATTGTCCAATAATACTTTTACACTTGATTTAGCATTTTTTNAATATCAAGAGGACACCTTAAAGTGCTTCACAGGGTTTACTATTAATAATAAATAAGAATAATCCTTCCATTTGATATAGCACTTTTCACGTCTTCTCGACGTCTCAAAGCACTTCACAGAATAGACTGTAAAGTGAATTGACTGTATATTTGTAGGCAAAACGCGACAGCCAAGAGCGCACAGCAGTGTCCCACAAACAGTTGTGGATTGAAAATGACCAATTTATTATTGTTTTGTTTTTGGAGGGATTATTATTAGGCGTGTGGAGTAAGGAAACTTGCCCAAGGTTTCGCCCTCTGCCTGGAATTGATCACATTGGAGTGTGAGCTTAAACTATACAAGTTCAAAGTTCTGACATGGGGCTCTAACCCACATCCTTCTGTATCAAAGGCGAGATTGCTTTTACCTGAACCGTAGAATGTTAGATTCATAGAATTTTACGGCACAGAAGAGGCCATTCGGCCCATCGAGTCTGTGCCGGCAGGTTGACCAGGTTGACACATAATATAATTTTACAGTTCAAAAGCATATCCCAAGGAGTGTTCATTGAAACCTACTGTACGCCCCAGACTTCTAACATCTGAATGAAAACACATCCTTTGAAAACTTTCAACAACGGCACAATTTTGAGAAGTGAAGGAGGTTTAGTAAACAACAAGGCCAATTTGGACTGATGTGTTTTTCCTCCAATAGTGGTTGGCTTGTTCTCTGGCAAACTTCCTTCTGGTTTGCAGCTATAGTCATCTGATACACATTTGGTATCAATACTCCCATCTCATCTACAGGTTGCATATAAGTCCTCCCGACGTGAAAGGCGCTATACAAATGTAATCTTGTTGTTGTTGTTGTTGCATACTTTAACTTTAATGTAGCTAATTTTCTGCTGCCCAGCCCCCAAGCAACAATAACAACCTTACATTTGTATAGCACCTTTCATGTCGGGAGGACGTCCCAAGGCGCTGGACAAGCAATTGGTTAATCCAGCACAAGACTGAAAGGCAACAGCCAAACAGACGTAATTATAATTACAAGTACTGTTATCACATCGTTTTAAATCGTGAACCAAACTTCTTCGGGAAAATGCCGTGAATTTTTATTCGTCTTCAGTTTTTATATTTATCAAGTGCAAGGACTATTGTTAACAGGAGAAAGCCCAGAATTCACATTTAGTGTTGAACTACATACAGCAACTATTCTAAAAACCATCAACACAGCTTCTAATACTATGGAAATTAATTTGTCATACAACATAAACCCAAAAGGGACACGTCAGTCATCATTCATGACCAGAAGATGCTGTCTTTCAAGGACAGTGTGGATACAGGAAAGTAATAAATCACTGCAAAGTGACTGGAAGGTGTGAAGTACGAGATTGGACTTTTCAGAAGAGCTTATTCTCTGACATCATGTTAGCACTGCAGCAGCACCTCTGGAATTTCGAGATTTATATCACTGAACTATAAGAGATCAGCTGTCGTACACCTGTATAGTTAATTCCTCATCCTCCACTTTCTCGTAAGTACTTTCATTCATGAGTCATACTAGAATTTTTACATTGATCTGAATTATTATATCTGGAATGAATGAGTAGATTATTGGAGGAATATTGCAGTTGTAGATTTTCTTTCAGAAAAATGGAAATCTAACTCTGCTGGGAAGGAAAATAAACATTTTGAATAACAGTCTATGGATGAAAGCATTGCAAGTCTCCATGTTGAAGACCAGAAGCACTTACTTACCAAGATCCAGTTTCTCACAAAGAGTCCCCAGGCTCTGAAGCACTGTAAACTGTAACTTGTAGGAAAGAGTGTGGCTATAAATAGGCCCAGCCTTGGCACTGACTGGGGCCTGGTTCACTAAGGACTTGCTTAACTTTGGTAATACATCTTTGGAGATGCGGCTAGTCAGGAATTTGCCACAGGCATCACCAATCTTACACAGTACCTGAAAGCAAATCCAACAAAACCCTTTCAGAACATTTGGAAGCTGATAAGTTTATCTGCTGCAAACTAATTGCAAAACGATAGTAGGGCTCATAACTTAAAAATAAGAACAAACTCAAATTAATAAGCAGAAAGGGCATGGTACGTGGAACACACTACCAGCGCGGGCAGTGCAACAAGAAACTGTAGATAGTTTCAAAAAGGAATGCTCCTGGAAATTACAATCTTTAATAGTAAGCTAGGATTCTCTTGACAGGTGGTTGAGTTGACGTAATGCATTATCAATTTCCACAGGACCGTGTTTAGACACGGTTTGAATGTATCTCGTACCTATGGCTATGCATTTTTTGTTAGCTGTTACCCCACACAATCATTTTGTCAAAGAAACCTTCTTAAATTAAGTAAAGCTTTCTTTGCTGCCAGTTTTTTTATCAGTCATGGGACAAAGAGTACAGAAACCACCACTTAAATCACCTTGAATGCTCTGAGAACCACCAGAGGATCGTCATTGGTCAGTCTCTGAACAAGTGGGCTCCAAACACGGTGCACCATTGGAAGCAGCTCGTTCTCATTACTCTGCAGAACAGTCACACAGAGTTCCAGAACATCCAGTACCTGCAAAAAATGAGGAAAAAAATGCAATATGCATAAGAAAGAATCATAATGGAAGGAAAGTTTTTCTCTATGGCCAATTTGATATCTTGCTTCTCGAATCCTGCTCTTTCATCCTGCCATTTCAATACCAAGCTGCTGCTTAGATCAACCCAGTGTCCTGGCTTCAACCTGCAATAGTGTTCATGAAGCAAGAATCATAAAGATTAACTTCAGTTTTCAAAGGCTTTACAATGGTGTCTTTCTATAATAATACAAGCCCTTTCTTCTGGTCAGCCACAAACCACTCTGATATCAGCTGTAAAATGCTCCCTTCTCCTCAAACGAATTCCATTCTCTTTGAGAAAAAGGGGTGTGATGGTGATCAAACTGAGAAAAGTTATGAAAAATAACACAAAGCATTTGTTAAATTAGAAGACTGACAGTCCTGTTCTTCACCTATTCCCTTCTCCTACCACAGACCTGTTCAGCCAGAGATTCCTATCTTACTATTAAAGATAACTCTTCCACACAGACGAAAACAACCTCATAAGACCCTGAACGATATTATGTTCAACCTCTCAGACTGGGAATAACACAAGACCTTTATGCGCAGTTTGATGCTTTTATCTGACAAGAGGTGAATGCATCTCTCCATCACGTCCTTGGTGATCTGAACATGGGCTGATAGTTCTTTCTTTACATCGAGGCAGTCGTCACTGTTGTCAGCTTCAGGGATTTCACAAGCTAAAAACAGGTCACATGATTTTCAGAAATGGAAGCATTAAATTGACTTTCAACATTTTAAAACATTATGACCATAATGACTAATGATGACAATGAAACACCCTGAAATTCCTGGCAGACCATCAAAGGAGATGGGACTAAAAACCCAGAAAGTAACACTGGGAAATACAAAATATTCTAATATATAGCTATATATAAAAACAATATTTTACCAAATAGTAAAATAATTGGTTTGTCTATGTCATGAAATTAACTGGGATTTTTTTTTAAAAAGCAAATAATTGAGGTGTTCTGCTAAAACAGAAGGCAACACAAATAGGTCAAACTGAAGGTGATGGAGAATGTAAAAAAATACTTTTGCACATTTTCGCTTTAATCCCACTATTAAATCCTGTTGTCTAGTCTGCACAAACTTTTCTTTGGGGAAATAAAAATCAGAGCCTGGAAAGGATTTAATACCTTTTAACAGTATACAGAAATAATTAATACAAAGTATTTGGTTGGATAAGAATTAAAGACTACAAAAGCTTAGACCGTATGTGACGAATGGTTCATGAGAAAAAGTAAAATGTCCTGAGTAAGCTGATTAAGGAACTGTGCCGGTTTGATAAGGTGAAACTCACGGACTATCGTAACTCAATGGAATAGACTTGCAGAATTTAAGTTTGAGAAGACTTATAAAAGTGCGAAAGACAGAATGGAGAAGAAAATAGCTAAGAGACAGCAAAGAGACTCAATGAAGCAAAAGAGATTGTGGAAATGCTGTGGAATAGATGAAAAAGGATTAAATAATTTACTCATAATTGGACCTATTCAAATTCCATATCATCTGTATGCTTAAAAATCAGGTTGACCATAGGAAAATACATTGGATTTGAAAAGAATGGTAAGGTCAAAGAACTCATTTAAATTGCAAATTTCCTAAAATAAAACACTAGAAAAATAATTTAAAATATAGAATCTTACATTAAATTGCAGAAGCATTGAAATCTAAGGCTTGCAACACATTTTTCGTGATACAGCTGTCAGTCGGCTTTGCGGCTCAAGGATTAGACTTCGATGTGACAGAAGCCAATATTCCTTATCAGAGTTCACGTGATAAGTCCTTGTTAGATATGATGGTGAACCTTCACTGTGTGGGTGATCGCTTTGCCGTTAAAAGTACCTGTATTCTCAAGATCTGCCTCATCCACAATCCCTTCTGCCAGACGTTTCTGTTTTTGATATTCCACGAAAAAGCATTGCATATTTTCTACTGTAGTACTGGAGCTGCAATTCTTGGCAATAGCAGCACTGTCCTTATCACGAGGCTCTCTGTTCTGGGAAGAATCCTTAGTTCCAAACCAGTGAGCTGTTTTTGGATCAAGCAAAAACAAGTTATGTTCCCATTGACCACTTCGGCAACATCTGCCTAGTTAAAGAACTTCTGATACCCAAAACCTACAGGCTTGAAATACTTCACCAAAACTTTCAACAGTTGGATAAGACCTGGCAGGAAAAGAGACAATTACACAAGTGATCAATTCTGTGCATTCCTCTGAAAGTGACAGTTTAGTATCAAACTCCACCATGTCTCAAGAGTCTCTGGTACCTAGTTTGCAAAATACCAAGAATTAGATTTCCACACTAGCAGAACAGCAAAATGCCCTTTTATATGAAACTAAAATTTAATTTTATTTTAAAATTTGCATTTTGCCCACAAAAAATATACATTCAATTCACTTTACAGTATATTCTGTGAAGCGTTTTGAGACGACTAGAAAATGATAAACCGCTACATCAAATGCAAGGATTATTAAAATAACTGGTCTCAAAGAAACCAATGCAAACTATCAGCATTGAACATCCTACTGGTGACATATTTCATTTGCAGGGGAAAAAAAATTAACTAACTTATGAAAGATCAGTAACAGAATGCATGCAAGTCATGGTACTATATTTTCAGGATTTAGGTTGTTATGATGAGCCTTTGGGTAAACAAAATCTAAATTATCCGAAAACTTTGCTTACAACACAATTACATTTGTATAGAGATGTCCCAACGCGCTGGGCAATTAGTGCTTATGGTAAACTTTGCTTACAGTAAAATGCCTAGCAACGAATATTAGATGACCACCTTGCTCATCCCAGGGATTTCTGGACCGATTGGCACAATTTGTGTATGGTCCAGTTAATAATGTTACTTTGATGAATGTTACCTACCTAGAGCTGCCAATAGTGAATGGAAGACTGTAAAAAACAGCTCAGCCCTTTCACCGTAGTACTGATCAAGAGAGAACAATACATCCTGTATCACATCTCCAACCAGAGGCAGAAGGCTGGCATCAGAGTGGCTGAACATCACACTGAGAACACAGGGTGTGTGAGGGTGCTGAGTTAGTCTTCTCAGATTGAGAGAAATGGTGTTCACTAGATAGTCGGAGTTCTGGTTTATCAGTTCCTGAAGTGATTCATAGTCGCAAGCTTGGCATAGCTCAACTAATGTCCTTGCGGCTGTTTGACTAATGAAGAGAGTCTCATCTCCAGCCTTTTCTAGTACTGGGTAGAGAGTGATCATTAAAAGTAGTCGGAACTCTGTTTTTAACACATGTGCAAAGTAGCCAATTCCTTCGAGTTGGATGCAGATTTGCCAGATATTACTGTTCATATCTTGGACAGTTAGGTTTTGACTTGTTGAACACAGGTAACTACTGTGGGATCCGCTTGCAAAATCCTCCAATCTGGGCTGATTTGTTTTCAAACTAGTTTCACATTCTGAATTCATGCTAGTTACCAAATGCCAATTCTCTATGCTTGTATACTCTTCGATAATAGATGTCACAATTGCCTTTAAGTCATCTATGCTAACCGATGTTTCTCTTTCACTCAAGACTTCCACATCTATTCCTATTGCCCCAAATAACAGTTCATTGATCACAAATGCAGCTTGTTTCCTGTATACCACAGACTCTTGGTAAAGTTCCATGAAATGGTCCACAAGTAGATACAGATTGCCATAGTACCCAAGCACCCTGCAGATCTGCTGAAGCAAAGCAAAAATGTGTTCAGCGTTAAAATACTTGAAATACTTTCTCTGTGTAGCAGGCTTTATCCATTTTGTTAGGCAGTTGGAATTAGACAACTCTGTAGGACTTTGCAGAGGCTCCACTTCAGAAGCTACGCGCCTTTCTTCCACTATTCTCACATCAGTCACATCCATCTCTAAGATCTGCAATAGGGCTTTCGAAAGACGTCCGAGATGCGCAGTTGAATTCAGAACAACGTTGATCTTGTAGCCCAATAACTTTAAGTAACCCAGCAATAATCTCAATGTACTGAGTTTTCCCTGATCATCCAGTGTCCTCATGAGTCTTGGAAGAGATGTTGTAAGTGAGTGCAAGTTCTCCGACAGCACGTCAGCGAAAGCCTTGTTTTCACTCATTATGCATTTTTCCGAGACGCTTCTCAAAACCTGGCTGCATCTAGTTTGCACCTCAGGCCTCTCATCGCCAATTAAACCAACCAGAACTTCTAGAAGACGGCCAATGGATTCCTTAAATGATTTATTGCAACGTGGCAACAAATGGTTAACCAGTTCAATCAATTCTAGCCTCGTTTTCCAATGCATGTTGCTAGCAGTACAGTTGCATATTTTCTCCAGGAGAATATCCAGTTTACTTCCAGTGCTCTTCACCCATTCAGGTGTTCTATTGACTATAAGTTTAGCCAGTTTGCTCTGTTCTGTGCTTAGCATTTTTTTGCCACAAGTGTCCTTAACAAGATGCTCATCTGCCATAACTAAACCCACTGTCTTGTACCAAACCTTGATGGCATAGATTGTTACTAAGTGACCCTGTTTAACATCTCCAGAAATAATGCGCGACATTGCTAAACTGATCCCAGGCAAAAATGTGGCGAAGGAGTCGCCGACAAGAACCAAGTCATCAATATTAAAAGAGAAATGTGAATCTGGGCAGTCACATTGTCCAATCAAGAGCAGCAAACACTTCATAGCATTGACCTGTAGCTGTCTTAATTTTTCATTTTCAGCTATCTCTAAAAGCAATGAAATAACCAATCCTAGGACAGGAATCATTTCTACCTGGTAAATGCATAAGATTACGTCCCCATATGCTGAATGAAGCAGGACATCTAGTCCTTGGACTACAGACATTTTGAGTTCTTCTGAAACATTGGCCAACTTTCCATGGTTGCCAGGATTGGACAAACAAAGAGATATTTCCGAGAACAGTTCATGAAAGAGTTGCTGCTTTTTCACACGTGTTCTTGAAATAATGAAGCTGATGCATTCCACCACACTCTGCACAAATCGTTCCTGCTTTCGTCCAGGGGTCTTCAGTGAAAATCTCATAGGAAACAATACATATTCCTGCAGTTCCTGTAAAGCCCCATTTCCAATGTTCTGCAGCTGAGATTGAAGGCACTGAATGTTTTCAACAGTCTGCTCCTTAGTAATAAGAACACAAATTGGACGCAAGGCAATAAATGCCTCCTTTGGTTTATCAAAGATAGCCATACTCTTCCCTCTCACCACTGTTACTTCATCTGCTGCACTACCATCCTATAAGACAAAGAGAAACAAGAATAAGAGTAAGACAAAGAGAAACAAGAATGTTATAAAGTCAACATTACACTGAGCTACTAACATTATATGCAACATCAGTCAATTTCATTCAGAGGCAATTAATTGGTAAATTACTACTTCAGTTGAATTATAAAATGTCAGTTTAAGCCAAAAACATCATAGATGCATGAATTTTATTTGAATCATCGATTTCAAGATCCTCACCCCCCCCCCCCCCCACGGATTCCTTCATGCCCTCGCACCTCGGTACCACTCTGACCTGCTTACCTCCAAACCCACCAAACACTGCCTCCGCTCAACTGGCTACAGCCTCCTTCGTGTCCCTCGTGCCCTCAATTCCACCATCAGTTGTTGCACTTTCAATCACTACGGCCCGAAACTCTGTAACACTCTTCCTCAGTCCCTCCACCCTTGCCCCCTCCTTTTGAACATAAGAATTAGGAGCAGGAGTAGGCCATTTGGACCCTCTAGCCTGCCCCGCCATTCAATAAGACCATGGCTGATCTATTCTAACTCCACCTACCTGCCTCTCCCTCCTCCCACACACAGGTCCCTCTCCCTCCTCTCACACACACAGGTCCCTCTCCCTCCTCTCACACACACACAGGTCCCTCTTCCTCCTCCTCCTCCCACACACAGGTCCCTCTTCCTCCTCCTCCTCACGCACACAGGTCCCTCTCCCTCCTCTCACACACACACAGGTCCCTCTTCCTCCTCACACACACACAGGTCCCTCTTCCTCCACCTCACACACACAGGTCCCTCTTCCTCCTCCTCACACACACAGGTCCCTCTTCCTCCTCCTCACACACACAGGTCCCTCTTCCTCCTCCTCACACACAGGTCCCTCTTCCTCCTCCTCACACACACAGGTCCCTCTTCCTCCTCCTCACACACACAGGTCCCTCTTCCTCCTCACACACACACAGGTCCCTCTTCCTCCTCCTCACACACACAGGTCCCTCTTCCTCCTCCTCCTCACACACACAGGTCCCTCTTCCTCCTCCTCACACACACAGGTCCCTCTTCCTCCACCTCCCCCACACACACACGCACACAGGTCCCTCTTCCTCCTCCTCACACACAGGTCCCTCTTCCTCCTCCTCCTCCTCACACACACACACACACACGCGCGGGTCGCGGCTGCAGATCCTCCTCTTGCGGCTCACGCTTACGGTACACCTTCCCCTCTCCCGCTTTTCGACTCGGTCAGGCGCCGCGGAGGGCAGCCCTGCGCGTGAGGGGCGCTATACAGATGCAAACGGTTGTTGTGCTCCATAAGGAAGACGGGGGGAGAGGAGAGGGGGAGGAAGCCTCTGGAGGCCGCTCCACTCACCCGGACCCGCGACTCTTCTTCTTCTTCCTCCTCCTCCTCCTCCTCGCCGCCTCCACCGCGCCATTGCCTGGGAGCGATGACAATAGTTTTTAATCAAAGAGACTGGTTTCGTTTCGCCGCCGCCGCGCTCGAGGCCGCAAACGCGGGTCAGGAAAGCGCGGAGGCGTCCACCGACCGACCGACGGGACCAACCGCCCGCCCGCGCGCCAGCGTCACGTGACGCGGGGGCGGGGGGCGGCCCGCGCGCCGGCCTCTTCCCCCCACCCGGCGCGCCCTCGTCACGTGACGCGGGGGGGGGCTTGCGCGCCGGCGTCACGTGGTGCGCGCCGCGCCGCGCCGCGCCGCTCGCCTCGCGCTCTTCGACCCCGCGCTCGTTCTCCCGCTCCCGGGTCACAGCGGGGTCAGGGCGCCATTTTGAGACCCGAGCGTGAGGGGTAACCGCCGCCGCCGCCGCCGAGTTTGTTGTAGTTTTTTTTTTCCGCCTCTCTCGCTCTCCCTGAGTGTGTCGGCGCGCGCGCGCGAGAGAGAGAGAGAGACACACACACAGACACAGAGAGAGAGAGAGAGAGAGTGATAAAAAGGAGAGAGAGAGAGAGAGCGCCTCTCGGCCGGGAATCCCTCAGCTTCTCTCTCTCTCTCGGGGCTCTCTCTTCACACACACTCACACACACACACACACCCCCACACACACACACCCGCTGAGCTGAGGCACCGGCGGTCGCGCAGGACATGTCCTCCTTCTCGGAATCGGCGCTGGAGAAGAAGCTGTCGGAGCTGAGCAACTCCCAGCAGAGCGTCCAGACCCTCTCGCTGTGGCTCATCCACCACAGAAAGCACGCCGGCACCATCGTGCACGTCTGGCACCGGGAGCTGAGGAAAGGTGAGGGACGGGGTTGCTCGGGCTCGCGGGAACCGACTTGAAACGGTTCTTTTTTTTCTTCTTCTGATGTTGTTGTTGTTGTTGTTGACACGGGCGGGGGGGGGGGGCGCCTTTGGCGGAGGCTGTGTGCACGTGCAGAACGACGACGACGACGACAACGCCCACACCCACCGACACATTTGCCCACCCCCCCCCCCCACCCAACCAAAAGGTACTGGACTGGACGGTCAGGGCTTTGCGCCCGAGCCCGGGGCGGGGGGGGGGGCGGTTGGGGATACGGGGAAGGCGCAGGAGATCTCGTAATGCGATGGGAAGCTCTCACTCTCTCACTCTCTCTGAGAAAAAAAACAACGCCGAACCCGCCACTGCATCGAGGCGTTTTGCAGTGTCAAGGCCCCCCCTCACCCCCTCCCTCCCTCTCGTTCCCCCCCTCCCTCACCCCCTCCCTCCCTCACCCCCTCCCTCCCTCCCTCACCCCCTCCCTCCCTCACCCCCTCCCTCCCTCCCTCACCCCCAACCACCGCCACCATCACCAATCTCCATCCACCTCCGGCACAAAAAACGAGGTGGTGGTGGGGGACACACACATACACGCACACACTTGGCTGTGGCGCTGCACACGCATAGGATGAACGGCTTTTAAAAGGTCCTCTCACTCGTTTTCAAACCCCCCCCTCACGCCCTTGCACCTCCCTGCCCATCCGACTCGCTTATCCCCCTCACCCTCTCCTCCACCCGCTGCCTCTGCTCGGCCCGCTTTGGCCTCCTCTCCTGTTCGTCCTTTGCCCCCCCCCCCCCCCCTTCACTCCCCCCCCCCTACTTCACTCCCCCCCCCCCCTTCACTCCCCCCCCCCCCTTCACTCCCCCCCCCTTCACTCCCCCCCCCTTCACTCTCCCCCCCTTCACTCCCCCCCCCCCCTTCACTCCCCCCCCCCCTTCACTCCCCCCCACTTCACTCCCCCCCCCCCACTTCACTCCCCCCCCCCCCCCGCCCCACTTCACTCCACCATCGCTTTCGGCCACTACGCCCGAAGCTCTGGAGCTCCCTGTCTCAATCCCTGCGGCTTGCCCCCCACCCTCACTTTCAATTAATAATAATAATACTAATCCTTGCATTGTGATATAGCGCTTTTCACGTCGGGAGGACGTCCCAAAGCGCTTCACAGAACACACTGTAAAGTGAATTGACTGTATATTTGTGGGCAAACACGGCAGCCAATTGCGCACAGCAATGTCCCACAAACAGTCGTAGATTGAAAATGACCAATTTATTATTGTTTTTTGGTTTTGGAGGGATTATTATTAGGCTCTGTGTGGAGTAAGGAAACTTGCCCAAGGTTTCGCCTGGAATTGAACTCAGGTCTCTCACTTGCAAAGCAAGTGCTCTAACCACTGAGCTACAGGACTCCAAATTCCCACCTAAAGACCTTTTTTTTTGGTTGTGCTTACGGTCACCTCCTCCCTCCCTCTCCCCCTGGCTTGGGGTCAGACTCTGCCACTGTCAAGTGCTCTGGAACGTTACCCTGCGTAAAGGGCGCTGTATAAATGCAAGTTGTGATTGCAAGCTGTTATGCAGTTACTGTAATTTTCTAATATAAAGTAAGACCGAAAGAACTTTATTTATTTAAATTTGTTTTGTTACCTCCAATCATTCTGAATTTAATCTGGTTTCTAGGGCGGTGATTGGATTGCAGAATATTACAATTTCTGTATTTATCTGTTTCCTAATGGGGTTCTTGCTGTGATCATATATCATCAGCAAGAGTACATAATTCTGAACCTGTAGCCGTGGGATTTTCTGAATGACTGAGAAACAACTTAACAAGAGTAATTGTGTTAACTTGGTAAAGCAGTTACTGGTGACAAATGAGGCGGTACAGCTTTGCGCACTGACTGAACAGAGCAACCTACTTCTGTTAGTGAGTGAGGTGTAATCCTATGTTCGTGATTCGCTGTGTATCCTTTTCACCCTCTATATGATTCCCCGGTGACATCATCCGCAGACATAGGGTTAACTTCCACATGTATGCGGATGACACCCAACTCTACCTTTCCTCCTCTACCCTCAATTCCACGACCACCGATGTCCTGACAGCTGTCTGTCCGACATCGAGTCCTGGACGAGAGACAACTTTCTTCAGCTCAACGTGCGTAAAAACTGAGGCCCTCCTGATTGGCTCACATCAGCGCCTCCGCACCTCTGGCGCTGACAGCATCAGCATCCAAGGCTGCACTCTCCACCTCTCAAAGCCGTCAGGAACCTCGGTGTTCTGTTCGACCCTGAGCTGTCCTTTCTCCCTCATATCCGCGCCACAACTGGCACCGCCTTCCATCACCTCCGGAACATCGCCAGACTACAGCACTACCTCACCCCTCACGCTGCTGAAACTCTGGTCCACGTCTTTATCACCTCAAGGCTGGACTATGGGAACTCTCTCCTCGCCGGCCTTCCCGGCACCTCCCTCCACACTGCAGGTCATTCAGAACTCTGCAGCTCGTGTACTGTCCCGCACCAGACACCGCGACCACATCACTCCCACCCTCGCTCGCCTCCACTGGCTCCCCATCCCCCAGAGGATCGAATTCAAGATCCTCATCCTCACCTACAAGGCCATTCACGGCTTTGCTCCCTCCTACCTCTCCGACCTACTATCCCCCTACCTACCTGCCCATACCCTCCATTCCTCTGGCTCCGGTCTGCTCCACATCCCCCGCCCCAACCGCCCTACCATCGGTGGCCGGGCCTTCAGCCTCTCAGCCCCTAGGCTCTGGAACTCCATCCCCCAGTGCCTTCGCCGCTTCCTCCCTTTCCTCCTTCAAGGCCGGTCTCAAGACCTTTCTTTTTGACCGTGCCTTCGGCTCCCCTCTCGACTCTCTGCCCCCTCCTCGCTCCCTCCCTTCCCTCCCCTCACCCTGACCATTTCCCCCCCTGCTCGGGTCCTGACCCAACTGTACAGCGCCTTGGGACGTCCTCCTGACGTGAAAGGCGCTCTATAAATGGAATCTTGTTGTTGTTGTTGTGTAAGGGACGTTTTTAATTTGAAACAATTGATCAGCAATCAAGTTTGGTGAGTTATTGTATTCACATTCATGATGAATGGAAACTAAGCATGATCCACAAGTTAGAAAAGTGGGCCTCTTGCCAGCACCACTGCAAATTGTTCTGGTTGAAAAAGTGAAAATATGTTTTCATCATGTCAGTTATAAGCTATAATTTTTCAAGTACTTGAATCACTCTTTTGTTTCCATCTGTCAGTGTCTCCAGTTTGATGTGGGGTTGACATGCCGATGCTTAAATTGTTTCAGTTTTTCTCTGTGAATAGCATATCTGATTTTCATGGACATTTGTGTAACAACACCACACTCTAAGCAACACTTTTTCCTTCACCTTATTTTACCAGTACCGGATGGTTCTTACCAGTCACGGAAAGTAACTAGTTTCAAAAGGGAAATGCAGTATTGGCATATTGCACTGGCATTGCTCATCCAGGTAGTGTATTGGACTAAGTTTATCCTCGCCTGTATATTGCTTGACAATGTATATTCTTTTAACAGTTTCCCCTGTTCATTCCTGCTTCATTTTACTGTATTTCTTATTCATCTGTTATCGGATTCAAATCCCTGATTGTCCAGTGCCTTGGGACGTCCTCTCGACGTGAAAGGCGCTATACAAATGTAATTTTGTATTGTGTTCAGATTGTTCCTTCTAAGACTTGTTGCTTCCAAGATAAGGGTCATAGGAATTAAATTGAAGAAAGGTTTTGGTGGGGGGGATAGAACCTAGGCATGGTGAAAGAGGTCAGTTTTCAGAAGGTCTTTTAAAGCATTGTATCTACCATTCCACTAGTGTGGAAATAAATCAGTGTTTCTAATACAGGCTTTACCCTCACTTTCAAACTAAGTGGAACATTATGATATTACTTAAAATCTACTTTTAGAACTATATTTAGAGACTTTGATTCAAGTTTTAATTTCTTGATTTGCTTTTTAGAAATGCTTTCTATAAGATTAATTGCAGTCCAAGTCATGTGTTGTGGTTTTTGTTGGATCTGAATTTGTGTTATAAACAGCCTATTCAGACTTATTCTCCAAGTAACTGCCAACTGCAGGAACTGGATCACTGAAATCTTCCTCATGCAACTTCTTTAGAAAAAAATGGTGAGTTGGTGGTAAACTCATTCCTGCAGTAAAATTAGCAGAATTCTTAAACCATGTAAAAGCCTTCCTTGCTAACAGAAGCTGGCAGTTGGTTCATTTTCAAGCTTTATTTTAATCTATTCCAGTGTATTTCACTGCTCTCCAAAGGTCTAAACTAGTTAAAACGGAATTGATTCATTTCAGTTTTTTAACAAACTTGAGGAAGGTTCAGTGTGGTTGAGTTTTCAAATATTTTTTAATAAAGGGACAGCTTAAGTTCTTATTTGATTTTTTAAAAAATAAGTATAGGTATGTTGTGTGTTAATTGTCGATCGTTGACTGTTTCTCATGTTCAGCTAAACCCAGTAGGAAGTTGACGTTCATCTACCTGGCTAATGATGTCATTCAGAACAGTAAGAGGAAAGGTCCTGAATTCACCAAGGCCTTTGAGGGTGTTCTTGTGGATGCGTTTTCACATGTATCCAGGTACAGTATGTTTTGATAAAGAGAATAATACAGGACATTTTCCACCTCTTTCCACAACCCGTAATTCGTCCGACTCGTCCCCTCCCTCCCCACTTTCAAAGCCTGTCTCAAGATTTTTGCCTTAAATTACTGCTGGTTTTGTGACTTACCTTTTTCTCTTGGCTTTCCGCAGGGAATCTGAGCAGAGTTGTAAGAAGCAAATGGAACGAGTACTGAATATCTGGCATGAAAGAAGTGTCTACGATGGTGATTTTATTCAACAGCTTAAGCTAACTGTGGACGAGTCAAACAGTCCATCTCTAGAAGGTATGCCTATCGCATAGTCCACAGTGAAAGTTGTGACTTCTCGCCTCTGTATGTGGTTTTCTGTATCCTGTGCTTGCATTTGTAATTGGCACTTAATTGAGATGATGTTAACTCCAATAACTGTTTATAATTTATTGTATATTTATTGTTGCACATTTCAATTTCCAATCTCACTGGTAAAGAGGGCAGTACTTTTCAACAGACAAAATCGGTGTTTCGATTGCTGCGCGATCATTCAAAGTCCTTTCAGTGGGCAGTTTAGAGCATTGTTGTTCGGGTGTGGGAGCAGGTCTCCAGACTGCTGTTGTGAGTCTGAATATGGAGAAACTCTACAAAATAACGAGATTAGAAATATCTATTCAACAGAGAAGCTGGATGGTTGGATGATCATGCAATCATTTAAGTTAATCTAAATCTATGACGTGTGCGGTATATTTGGCCTTTCATGATCCTTATGAGTAAATGGATTAACTCAGCAGATAGTCAGGTGTGTGTGTGTGTTTGTAGAAGTTGCAAGTACTTTGTACGAGTGGTAGGAAAAATTTGGAATCTGTCACAATCTGTCCTATCAACGAACCTGGAACTTTGATTTTTCTATAACCGTTGTTCATATTGAGTGGAAGATATCTGTTTCATCTATTTTCCATCTCTTCTTCTGTGTTAGCGAAAAATGAATCATGCAAATGTTTAGATATCAGTCAGCCTGGCTCAGTTGGTAACACTCTTGCCTCCGAGTCAGAATGTTGTGGATTCAAGTCATGTCTCGGTTTGTGGTCTAAGCTATTCCTCCAGTGCAGTGTTGGAGAGCACTGCTTTTTCTGGTATGCTGTTCGTCAGATAAGATGTTTCAACCGAGATCTACCTGTTAAGGTGGTCATTAAGGAATCCATGACACTAGTCTAGAAGAGAAGGGAGTTTCATCCAGTGTCCTGGCTCCCAAACCTCCAGTTAACCTGGTTATTCTTTGTAATATATATTTTATAATATAGCCTTCCGCCACTCTGCACCCACCCTCTCGAACTCTATCCCGCCGTCCCTCCATCTTGCCACTTTCAAGACCCAGCTCAAGACCCTCCTCTTCGACCGTGCTTTCGATCTCCCTGCTTCCCCGACCTCCCCCACCCCAACTCTCAGCTCGGGTCCATCTGTCTGTCAAGTGCCTTGGGACATCCTCCCGACGTGAAGGGCGCTATACAAATGTAATTTTGTTGTTGTTGTTATTCACTTTGTGGCTGTTTGTGGAATATTGTATTGCTGTGTAAAAATTGGTGCATTCTATAAATATTTAAATCACTACACTTCAAGCAGTAATTACTGTAAAGAGGATTCAATGCAATAAGGAGCTATATTAAATGGGAAGGATTATTATTATTAGTTGGGTGTGACTGAGGCTGGAACTTTGCCAATCTCATGTTTTATATCTATGAAAGTAATTTTCAGCTAAATACGTACCTGGTAGGACAGAGTTTGCCTTGAGAAGGATTCTCTTTATTTACGACTCGTGAATCTCGCAAGTAGCTCCCTCCCTCCCCATCCAGATATTTGTACCTGCTAAGTATATTAATGATCTTTTTTCAGGGTGGTTTATGGTTTATGTCTTTATGTAATGTCAAATTAGGCAAGTTCTTAATATGTATAAATTAAAACAACATTGTAAATTTTAACACCTGCAGTGTGAAAAGCAACATTGCAACATTTTACACCTTCTGACTGCAAACTTAATCTTTGCAGATAATGCCGGTTCTAAAGTCTTGTTCGATCAACAATCATCTTGCCCGTCATCCAGGGAAAAGCACGGTCAGTCTAAGAAAGGTCGAAATTCTGAAGTTATGAAAGGTCACGAATCGGCAGCATCTGACTCTTCATCCAGCACCTCGTCTGAGACTCGATTTATAGGTCAGTCAAAGCTTCTGCAGGCTTCCAGTGAGTGCGCAGTTCAGGTCTTCACAGTTCCAGCGCCTTGGGATGTCCTCCTGACGTGAAAGATGCAATACAAATGTCATTTTGTTGTTGTTCTAACCAGTGAACCTGATTGTGATCTGCTTAAAGAGAATGCAGCACAGCGACTGCTGATCGTTAATTTTCTTAAAATGATTCAAAACCAGGTGGGTTTGGGTGCATTTTATGTACTGTATATTTTAATGTAGAAAGTTAGTACATTTTGGTTTATGTCAGGTAAATAGAGGTGTAAGACCTTCAGCAGGTTGAATTCCTACTAGTTTTGTTTTCTGCACAGGTACTCTTCCAATGAGCTGTAGTTACACTTGCAGCCTTGCTTCTGCTTCATTGTCATAGATGACGCATGTGGGTAATTGTACGGCAAATATGTTTTTAATGTAGAAATAATTGTAATACTGTATATATTTGGGGAAAAGAATCAAGAATTGAAGTTTACTCTAAAATATTCTACAAGCAGTGTAGGAATGGAGATCTGGCCTATACTTGTACTCTTGCTCTAAACACTTGTGCTAGTAACGTGTCTGATCCCGACCTTTACATAATTTTAAAACAAATATAGTTCAAACGTAACTCTTCCACAACACCCAGATTTTGATCAAAATTAGTGTACATTCTCAAAGTTTCGAAAGATTCATGAGAACATTGTTGCTACCTTCTTAGGAAGTTGCCTTGCTTTGTTGTTAAGTGATTTAGTTTGGGTCTGTCCATCACAGTACGAACCATAATCCCTTATTTTTGTAGGTGAAGAAAACCGAGGAGCAAAACGTAGCTATCCTGTTGAAGAAGATGAAGATGACGATTATAGGGTCAACTACTCCCCGATAGATACTGGCACAGGTCCCCTGTTAGTAAGTATTTAATTGGGAGGTATTGAACCATTGGATGAACCCAATGCAATGTTGTTATAAATGTTACAGTCTATTAATGGCAGCAAGTCAACATTGAAATTACAAGTTTGGAACAATTTTTTTTCCTACAATGATATTCTTTGGTTATGGACTGTGATACAATCTGACTTTGAATGGTAGGTTGGTGTTAGCTGCTTATTGTATGTCACCATGATGTTGATCTAGTATTTTATAATTTAAGACCTTAATCTCTGGTCTCCAATAATAGTGTGCACAAGTTAGCAAAACTGATTATTTAAAATTATACACTACCTGCACGTGTGGTGTCTTCACTTTCATTTTCTGTTTATTAGACAGAAAACCTGATTAAAGCTCTCCAAGACCTTGAAAATGCAGCATCTGGTGATGCAACGGTCCGTCAGAAAATTGCTTCATTACCTCAGGAAGTACAAGATGTTTCGCTCTTGGAGAACATTGCAGGTGAAGAGCTACATACCCAATGCTGTATATTACTGATCACTAGAGGGCCTACTTTATCAACATACTCCTTTCACCCTTTGAAATTTAAGTTTAAATACAGGCCTGACAGGATTGATATGAAGATGGTGGCTGAACTCATGAATGTATGAGGAATGTGAGGAGTCTGAATTTACTAATGCAATTGTGTAATTGGATTTCCTGCTCAATTTCACTCTAGCTCGAGAGTTTTGAAAATGGTTAGCTGCACAATCAAGATTACTCAGGAATAACTTTGCACTGTACTTCTAACCTAGCAATTTCATTTCTCTTTACCTTGAGCACCAAGATTGCACAATGTGATTCAAACAAACTAGTTGCCACAATGGCAAGTAATATTCCAGCTGTAAGTGACTTCATTGAAAAGCGAAGTGTCACGATTTTACAAATAATAATGGTTATATAATAATAATAATTCTTGCATATGATATGACGCCTTATCACGTCGTCGAGACGTCTCAAAGAGCTTCACAGGATATATTGTAAAGTGTTGTGACTGTGTGTTTTGTGGGCGAAATACAGTAGCCAGTTGCGGACAGCAGTGTCCCACACACATTTGTGGATTGAGTGACCATGATATTTTTGGGGGAGGGTTTATTACCCCTGGAAAGTGATCTGCCAATTGACTAACAACCCGGGAACAACCGGGTTCCCACTTTGGTGCCAATTCACAGGCAATTTACTGGTACCTAGTTTTGAGTTGACCTAAGCTGGATTTTAGCCCAGCCCTCAACATTTACTGTTTGAAACAACAATGTTCTTTAAGTCACAAAGTGTGCTGACTGTAATGGTTTGGCATTCAGGTGATTGCAAATAGCATCTCTAATGATCAGCAATATGTTGCCCAATTGGCTGTTGAGTTAATTCAATACAGCTTTCATGGTGTTTCACATTCTTTTAAAAATAATCCAATAAAATTCAACTTCAGAAATGTAATAATATTCCTTGCATTTGATATAGCACCTTGCTAAATAGTTTTATACGCAATAACAGTGAAAATAAAGTACAATACACATCCCCGTCCCCAAATTGATTTGAGGCACAGCTAAATTGTGTTTTTTTGTGCGTTTTTGCTCTCAGATAAAGCAGCTGCAGAAAGGCTATCTAAAATCGTCGATGAGGCATGTTTGCTGTTAGCGGAATACAATGGGCGGCTGGCAGCGGAGCTGGACGACCGGAGACAATTAGCGAGAATGCTGACTGAATACATAAGTAGTCAAAAGGAGATTCTAGGAGAGAAAGAGAAAAAACTAACGGTGCGTAAGTCTCATCACTGATTTTAACCTGAATTGTTAGCGGTAGTTACCAGTTTTCCTGTGGCTCAATTGGAAAATCACTACCATAACTGAAACTGAGCCATGGTGACTCTTAAAGGTGCCAGGTTCAAAGCCTGACTGTGCTGAGTTAGTTTAATATCTTATACAAGCAGAGTTGACATTTATAATGGAGTCCAATACGTGCCGACTTCTAACTGTACTTGGGTGCTAAATGGTAGCTACATACTGGGGACCAGTAAGAAATAAGAGATAATTAGCTCAGTCTATACTGCCACTCCAGTGCACTCCTGGGTGAATCCTTTTGCTGAGGATCTGATCTGCCTGTTCCCATGCCATTCTTCAAAAAGTGAGGGAGTTTACTCCCTGTGTCCTCGCCACTATCCCTCAAGTAAAAAATAGCTTAACACCTAAAGTCACAAACCTTCCGATATCTTCTTTAATCAGATTGCAAGGGCCGACTTTCATAAAATGATGACTGCTAACAGCTTTTTGGCTTTGTTAGCATGTTCCAAATTACACCTATCCATCAGATCATCAGAGACATGTTTACAGCAGAGCAAGAACACAGCACCACTCACTAAGTGTGGTCTATATCCTTTCCCGTATTCCAAAGAATCAATCAAAGGCCTCTCTCAGTTCAGTCACACACGTCACCTTGGCCACTACAACCTGCGCCCACACAGTGTGCTCACTTGGGTCCCGTCACAAACTTATCAGACAGGGTTGCTTTGGGAGCCAGACCCACCAGCGAGGATTGGTTGGGGCAGATTATCTCCCATCACAGTGGGTTGGAAACATTTTTTTTTCATTTTATGGCTGTTGGTAACTTGTGAGGATAATAAACAATGTTTCTGACTCATTTCCCCCCCCCCCCCATTGTATATTCAGCTTATGGCATAGCAAAAAAAAAGTCAAATTAGTTTCAGATGTGTTTATTTTCTCAAATGTGTTGAAACAATGAATGTCAGAAAACATTTACTGCTGAGAGGCCTCTGCATCCAGAGCTCTAAAGTTTAGAATTTCTTGTGCATGTACATTATTGTCATGTTATCCTTTGAATTCAGTGGCAGTGATAGAAATGTAACTTAGTGAATGATGTAGTCACTATAGGAATAGCAAGTGCTCTAGTCAGCTTTGCTTCTAAGCAATTTCTGCTGCTGTATTCCATTGAGAATCTTGTGCAATATGAGAGACGTGTTGTGGTTTTATTAACATCTAACAGTAACTTTTCTTCCACCAGGAATATAAACAAAAACTTGCTCAAGTAACACAGGTTCGTAAAGAGCTGAAATCCCATATCCAGAATCTGCCAGACCTTTCGTTGCTTCCAAACGTAACGGGCGGTTTAGCGCCATTGCCCTCCGCTGGTGACCTTTTCTCAAGTGACTGATAGCACATCTGTTCTCAGGATTCGAACCGCAATACCTCCACCAGTGTGTGTGTGTGTGTGTGAAGACGTTGGTGACAAGCACCCAGGTTCAGAGCAAAATCAGCGAGACTAAACTTTTAACACATCTGTGTGTGAATTGCATTGAAGCAGCAGTAATCCTCTTATGCGGTCTTACACAGTTTGAAGCATATGGAGTAAAGTACTGTTCAAAGCCACTGCTCTGTAGGATCCTAGAGCAGGAGTGATCAGGGTGTCAAGTGACATTAGTTTTGAGGGTCTCAATCTAATTGAGCAATAAGCGTGTATGAGTCCACAGTACAGAACATCCCTCAGTTCACCAGGGTTGGGTGCATGTATAGAAATAAAAATATACTAGCACTGCAGAGTTGGGTGAGAAATCTCTCTTGCCGCTAAGTGTAGTAACTTTGATCATCTCCACATGTAACTGGAATTTCCCAATGTATAGAGTGCATCTTCAAGTTGCTACAAACGGCGGGAGGAATTTCACCCTAGTACTGTATCTGAAGTTAGAACATTGTTAAAGTGCCAGCACTGGTGATCTGGAATCCTACCTGCTTTTTGGGTATGAAATACGAAATGGCTATTTCTCCAAATTGGTCACCTTTTTCCTTTTTTTAAAGTAATTATTTTAACTTGTTTCCCTCATTAAGGAGGGGAAATCAAGCTTTCAAATAGCCAATAGTGATTTCAGTTGGAATAATTTCACTGTGTATTTAGTGTTGGTGGCAATAGACCAGTGGAAACAAGAGGCTTTGCCATACAGATACTTGCACCAATCTGTAGTTGGTGACCTCTCGTACAGCAGAGGGCTTGCGTCGCCAGCGGTGGGAAAACGCCTCTAGACTCTCATTTAACGTTGGAAGCTTTTGATCAATTAAAAAACCATGTTCTGATTGAAACTGTTTTATAGTGCTTTCTGATTCATAGTGCAGCATTAAACTATATATTGCCACCTTCATCCAGCAGCAATGGTTTTGCTTCTAAATTAGAAGAACATGAAACAAACTTTTACATTTCAAGTGACTTGTTTAGGTCTGTTGCTGAATTTCGTTTTGTATTGTGGGCCTGTAATTCTGTTCTGCCTTTCTTCTCTCCCATCCACCCCTCACATTTCTGCAAAGATTATTAATTGCAGCACGTTTCTTGCTGTTGTGAAGTTGTTTCTTTATAGTACTTTTTTTGCTAAATTAAGCAAAATTAATGACCCCAACACATTGCATCTTTTAAACGCAAAATCAGTTTAAGGAATGCCAAGATGATAATAATTATCTAGTCACACCGATTGTTGAAATAGCAAGACAGACCAAAACTTGGTTCTGTGCTGGAGGTATCTTGTTAAAATCTTAATTTGAAACTTGTACCTGTCAATGTGTTTAAGATTGTTTAAACTTTGACATTTTTATATTTAACAGCGTGTGTGTCTGTTTCTGAATCTCGTAGTCCATTAAGATGAAAAATAAGTCTGAAACCACTGGCAGCTGTCTTCCCTGCTAATTTCTTTTCATGAGTAATTTATATTTTAAGAAAAACTCTAGAAACTTTTGTGTTTATATATAAAAATCAGAAAAGGCAATTGAAATGGAAACGGAAGATCCTCGAGTCATGGAATCTTCGAGTCGTGTAACTTGTGCCTTGGCTCAAATGGGCAAAGTTTGCATATTTGGATTCTTGACTTTTTTTTGATGAATTCTTAGTATGTAAAAAGTAATTGGGACTGAATCACTTTTTTATTTTTAAAAGAACATCCAATATTGCCCATCCTGACTGAGCACCGATTGTATTAAATTGCCTTTGCCTTATACACCTAGATGTTTCTTGTCTTGCTGCTTTCAGGTTATTCACATTATTTAATCCTTTCCTAAACCTGTCTTTTTTTTCCCCACCCCACCCAATCATCTGTGCAAATGGAAGATCTTTTGGTGCATTTTTTTTTTCTAATGTTAGATGTTGCTGTGTTATACATGAAGAAAAATAAATAACCAGATTCAGCAACAAAAGGCATACCGTCCACTCACTTATCATAAAAATGTTGGAACGTGGAGACATCTTGATAGCAAAAGTATTTAATGATCAATCATTAACTGAGATCAGAAATACACATTTCAATCTTGACTGTTACAAACTTAATCTTGTCTTCAAAGGGAGAGTTTCAATTTAGCCAAATTGACATGGGAAGTGGGGGGGTGAAGGTGGAAATTCATGCCAGAATTAAAAGACCCTCCAATGTCATTTAACTTTTTTTGGCCAAATTAAAAAATGTCTAAAAAGGATTACTCCGAATACTGCAACTCTTGGGTTACCATGCAGTGATCCAAGGAAAGATCAGCACATTTCTACAGTTCAAAACCACACTTGCCTGGTGTTTATGGCAAGTGTGTAAGGCATATATTAACAATAACTGTAAGCGTACATCTAGGTTTTCAATAAATTTAGCTAACTAAATTGTAATGATATTTTCCTTCATCACTGATGAATTCTATGCATAAACAGACTAGATGGTCTTCACTGTCCTTCTGGATCAATGTTGGTAAGTGCATCATTACAACTTGTATGAAGCTGCTATGTACATTAATCGTTAAAATGTATTCAAAAATCACTTTATCACCCATAAATAAGCGTATTGCTGAATATTCAGAGTCGTCAGCCCATCGAGCAGAAGGTTTTCAGCGACACAGGTTCTGGGTTTGAACCCCATTGTTTGCTTTCACCCTCCCGAAGATGAATACCTGACCTTTGTTAAAAGAATATCCATCCTCCTCACTGGAACAGGTACGTCAGAATTCCCTATGGTTGAAGTATCTTTTATAGTCTCCCTGTGTCACTTAGTTCTATATTTTAATAGGTACACAATATGGCATTTCTTTTTGGGAGGGGTGGAGCAATTTTTGGTCAGATGTCTGAAACGTGCAGAAACCCATCATCATGCTTAAGAAACCAAACAGTTCCATTGATCCCACCTATACGTTCAAATTCCAGAGAAATTTATTGGAATGCATTAGATAAATATGAATGCATCAGATAAACAGAGAGTACAGTATTAGACGCAGATTGGCAAGAGCCTGGGCTTGGGGATCCCAGAGAGGTATTAGTCCAGTCTGCTGAACATGTACAACTTGCCACTGAAAGAACTTTCTGGCAAGCTTCCTGCTGCTTTATAGCTTGGACCACCCTACCCAAAAGGTCTTTGGCTTACAGGGAGTTGAGTGAAAAGAGTCCCTGCCCCCCCCCCACCACCGCCCACCCCAGTAAAGGAGGAGAGAAGAGGATTTGAGGAACCAAGAGTGTCAATAAAATAAATGTACCACAAGAGCAATTGTCTCATTCCAGGGCAGTTATGGCGTCTAGACAGCATTGGAGGGGTTTTTATTTAACAAAAAAAAGTTATATAAACAGCGGTATAACCAACCACCCAAGATTGCAATTAGCTGCAGCTTCATAACAAAATGGTATCGAGTTGCTGCAGATGACACTGACTCGATGTTGATTATAGCACAGACATGCCTAGTTAAAGTCGATAACAGGTTAATCTATCTCCAAAATAAATAACCAGTGTTTTTAATCTTTTTTAAAAAAAGAAGAAACATTTATTGACTAATAGCCAGGAAATGCTGTACATATGGCAACAGAGCATTTTTAAATATAGTTTTCCGCAATTGGGATTGCAGAAGTTTTTTTTGCAAGCAAACTTTGTTACACTAGAAATGTCAGATCCTTGCTGCTTATGTAGTAGTTTTTAATATCAGAATCAAGCCAGGTTTTTTTGTGTAATAAATATTGTTAGAGATATTTTAAAAAAGTTTACATAAAGATACCACTACAGGTAATGATATTTGATGTGAGAAAGGGGGGAGGAATAAAGACTATTAAATACTACAAATTAAAAAAAAATTGTGCAACTTTTTAATATATATTTATAATAGCCCCCTTCAGGCAGGATAATGCCTCGCAGCACTATATGGTGGCAAAACCTTGCAATCAAGGGGGAGGTGACCATAGGTGAAAAGGTAAGTTTTTATCTTTAAGTCCTATCTGAAGAGAAGGTGAACCAGGGGGACAGTCCCAAGACTTACGCGTTGTAACTTTTTTCTCTTTACTATTAAAAGTGTCAAAATATAGTATATACAGTAAAAGTCGCATAAGTCTGATCTGTATAAATTGTACAATCACCTTAAGTCGTACAGCCAACCAACTACCGTTCAATTTCCTATTAAACCCACTTATATTTATTTATCCGCACTCGTATTAACCATCGCGTAACTCATAACGCTGCTACCACACTTGCCGCTAACAAAGTTACTGGCTCCTGGGTCAAAACTTTGTTTCCCGCACCTGCCTCAAACGGAATACCGCACATGCACACCCCAACATTCTCCGCGCCCTTTCTACCGGGGAAATAACATCAGTATCGTCAGATAGTGAGCCACCCCAGGGGAACGGCTGCTAGACTGAGCCGCACGGCTGATTGAGAGATGTGGGGGAGAGTGAAAGAGGGATAGAGAGCAATAATAGAGAGGGGAGGGGTGGAGGGAGAGAGAGAAAGCACGGGGGTGGTTAGGGATTCTTGTGGTATCCTGCTTAAGAGTGTCGTGGTTCTCAGACAGGGCATCCAGCCCTTAGCAGCCATAAGATTGGATCACCATGCTTCCATGTGAAACAATCCTTGTAAGAGTTTATATTCTGTTAAAGCAGTTCGGTTTTGAAACCTGTTTCGTTGAGCCATTCATTCATTGTACAGTACATGTTTACTGCACATGGGGTACAGTATGAGCAAATGTGAGCAATATGACATGAGCAAATTGGTTGCTGTGTTTGCCTACAAATACACGGTCACCATACACTTCACAATTAAACTCTTTAAACAAAAGATTAAACAATTTATCTCTGGAATTTCCATGGGTAGGTGGGCTGCATGAAATTCTATTTGGTTTGGATACTCTTAAGCACGGTGATAGTTATCCACACGGGTCAGACACTAGACTGACCAAAAAACAAACAAATCTAGGATGGCATTCGTTAGGTAAGATGCTGTCCCAGCTATCCAAATTACTATTCATATAGCTATGTAATTCATATAGCTATATGAGTTACTAGGATTACTAGGTCATTTACTCTCCTCTTCACATTAAAATTTTGAATCAGAATTTTTCTTGCTTTCTCACTGTTTGCATTTGTATTTGCTGTAGGTGATCACTAGATAGCGCTGTCGCTTCAATGAAAAAGGTTAACAAAGAACAGAAGAAATGATCAGTTCAGGTGTCCGTGTCAGAGCTTGAGGTTACAGTTTAGGCTGACTCTTCAGTGCAGCGCTGGGAAGCACTCTATTGTTAGAGGTGCTGTTAGATGAGAGGATAAGCCAAAGTTTTTTCTGTTCAGATGGATGATGAAAATCCAATGGCACTATTCAAAAAGTCAAAGGAATTTTGGGATGCCCTCCATGATGTGAAAGGTGTTGTAAGTGTGAAATGTATTGTGCTCTCCCAGTGCCCCGATCAACAATCTCCTGGGTGCATTGGGAATTCAGCTCATGGCAGTTTCTGGGATCTTTCTGCTCAGACGGTGCTGTCCATGGTGACAATGCCATGGCCTTACCACTTTTCTAAATTGCCCTTTTTCTTGAATTATTCTCACATTCCATCTCTCTCCCCGTATCCCACCTAAAGACCTTCCTTTTTGATCGTGCTTACGGTCACCTCCCCTCTCCCTTTCCCCTTGGCTCATTATCGGACTCTGTCACTGTGAAGCACTCCAGGACATTACCCTGGAATCTAAGAAGAATTGAAAAATGTGACCAGCCAGAGCCTCCATTATTTCCACCCTTACTTCCCTCACTAACCTAGGATGCATCCCATCTGGACCGGGTGACTTATCTACGTTGAGCACCATCAACCTTTTTAGTACCTCCTCTCAGTTCATCCTGATCTTATCCAATTTCTCTCCCCTCTCCAATATTGTGGCTTT